TTCGCTCCTAAATTTTCGCTCTTAAATTGTTTATGGATTCCTGTCCCGCTTTTATTGCTTATGGTTTTACCGTTAGACCACGGAGAACTGCACGGAATTAGCGTAACAATGACGTAATTATCAAGCAGGCTTGATACTTTCGATTGCTTACTGAAAAAATATTAGCATAGGCGCCCAAGTAAGACTTTAGCACGATCGCTTTGAGCTGGCACGATTGCTTTGGACTTTATGGTTTACCAATGCTTTCATGGTTAAAAAATTATTGATACAACTTTGACTTTGTTACACAGCTATCATTCAATGGCTGTCAGAAATTATTGCAAGAACTGGAAGGGACCGCCACCCTGCCCCTTCCTAGTGTCCCCCACTGGACTCAACTGCAATAAAAGATTATTATCACCCCAAACTTTTACTTCATAATTTGACATACGTGAGAAGAGGAAGAAAGCGTTCTTTATCTTCATCAATTTCCACTTTCTTTTGAATAAAGTCAGTCACATCCAACACTAGAAACACATTTTAATTGACATGTACACATGTAGTATTTTCATGAGTGGTTTGCAAGGGGTATTTTTTATGAGAGGCTTGGGGTAGCGAATGAACGATAGTTCCTACAGCTCTAAGTGGAGATGGATCGAGCCAGATCTGGTGGGGTGTGCTTGATCACGGAACCTAATGGGAGCCTAAAGGCAGCGAGGGACAGCGTACGACAGGTAGTGTTTGGGGAACCAGCGAAGGGTTCAGGGATCTAGTTGATGGTAGGATATAATCTCAAAACGTCAACGTTCTGCTTGAATTTTTCACCTAGTTGTATCTCTCTCAACCTCAACTCAATGGTAGGATATTTCCTTTCAAACAAAAAAAAAGATTTCATAAGGAAATTGGCACCCCTTTTAATTGCCAAGGCTACTAGGGACCCCTGCTCCCCCCCCCCTCCTCCAAGTAATTCCATCCCTGGCTGTAACACCTTAACACATCACCCACCCTGCATATTTGCTCACCTGCAACTCCGAAAGGCCTTCTCAAATCCTGTGTGAGCTTAGTCTTCTTACTAACAACGTCTTTCAATTCCAAACGACCTAACGTAAAACAACATTTTAACATGATTCATAAACTTGTAGTTTCTACAGTGGAACCACGCCTTACAGCCACTTTTTTGCCACCGAAAAACGCCAAGACAAGACATTTTCTTATAAAGGTATCCCGTTAAAACAGCCACCTCGTTAATACAGCCAATTTTTTCGACCCGTCCTTGGCCTTATTAACAAGGTTGCACTGTACATAGACTATAATCTGGATTAAATATTGCTTACATACCTACTCTAATAATTTGACAGACGATATATATTTTCTCACGTTCAAAATCTTTACTGCCAAGGTCCTGCAAAGAATAAATACCTGCATGTACTTATCAGTTATTAAAGAATCCAGGAATAGACTCTTTCAAAATTTCCATAATTCCACTTTGTATTTTGTAGTTAGTCTGCAAACCAAGCGCAGTACTTTAATTATTGAGCTGTGAGCTTTGTTGAGACTTTGTACTTTGCTGAGCTGTAAACACGTAGCAACTCTATACCCACCGTAAATAAACAGCACATGTTATGAAGTTTGCTTAAGTCTTTAGGTAGGCCCTGTTTGTCCCACGAAACAAGATAATGTTCGCTGAAAAACAACAAATTAACATGGTTATGAACCATCTGTATACAAACATTATGATGGTGTGATATTTCAATGGGACCATTTTTTTATAATTTTATTTAAGCTCAAACAGGGCGAAAAACCTGTGTGCACCTCTCCTGAGATGGTTTTGCAGCTCCCCTGAGACTTTACGCACCACCCCTGAAAAGCTACCTCCCCTTGCCCTTGGAAAGGGTTAAATGATAAGTGAAAAATTCTTCCATTCATTAAAAGCTTCTGAGACAGGGTATGGCATGAACACATACCTTATAAATCTCCCATCTTTTCCATTCGAGCCAGGAGGTTCATACAAAGTTACAAACACATCAGCATCATCTCCAATGTTACACACAACGTTCTTTATGTTAATGTAGAGTGAATGAATGGGATTGGAGTAAAATCGAACTTCTGGAAAACAGGTTCGACTTTCCTGAAATTGTTGCATAGTTGTTAAACTACTGTACTCAGCTGAGTAAATCCAATACAAAAATTCTTATTACATTCAAACCACTAATTAAGTCTGCTGTATAACTTCCAATAATTAGAGCTTTGATGTACATTTAGTTAATTTTACCTCATCAGTTATACGAGTTTGAGTACTGTCATGCTGTAAAAAAAAAAACAAGATAAAAGATTTTGATAGACCTATACAATGAACAATCCTTCATACTAAGAAGGCTTGATAATGTCCTGTCAGCTTTAAGACTGTAAAGTTTACCGAGTTTCTCAGTCATTGGTTAGCCGATTTCCCAATATGAACAGGCTATTGCACAATTGATAGGGGATCCAAGGTATAGAGAATTTGGTTAACAGAGAGGGATGGGCTTAATATATTTATTCGTTTAAAAAGGGGAGGGTCTTACAGGTATATTAGCAAGAAAGGGCTTTTTTGAAGAGTAGCTCTAAAGAGGATTTATTTTTTGAACCAAAACATTACACATTTGTTTTAAATTTTGAAAAAAAAGAATATTATTGTAACACATACTCTTCTATAAAGTTCTATAACGCCTGTAACATCTGGATCCAAAATATTCCCATTTGCATCACGGACAACAAGATCAAGATCCAAAACTCTACAATTAGTTAGAATAAAGAGTTGAATAAAAATGAAATGTGAATGAAAATAGAAACACAATGTATACGTTTTAATTGGTATCTTTTATAAAAGCCTAGTGATAAAAAGTTTCGACATCAATATTCTGAACAGTGAGTGTTGTCAAAATGTAGCAATATAAGTACTTGCAGCCATTTTACCTGTTTCCATAGTCAATTGCAGCGGTGACCTTTTGTTTCAGTTGTTTGATTCGATCCTTCAGATATAAAAAAAATGGTAATTATATGTTGCAAACATATTCAATTTCTGTTGATTCAAAATTGCACATTCATTTTAATAAATGCTTTAAATTTTTTTCCATCAAAACATCCAAATGTCACATGACTGAATTTGATGGAAATTTGATCGGTCTTAAAATCAGTCTTAAAAACAGAGAGTAGATTTTCTGGTTCATATTATTCTATGGTTACCAGATGGTATACAAGTATACAGTGTAATGAAAAAAACTCCATCATACTCCTGGCAATGTTCCAGACAAAATCTGCCTTCTCCACGTCATTAGATCATCCATTTGTTTGGAAATCATATGAAACAACTCCAGGTTTTTTATCTAAAAGATGCAAGTTACTTTTTAGAGTGTACTGCACCTTCCAGTGCACTTACACTCTCTCCAAAATGGGTCAAACAGATGAAAAACAGATGAAATGCTCAATGGGTTTTAAAATGCTAATTAATAAGTAATAATCATCATACAGTACATACAAAGCACCAGAGGGATGTTTGGTTGGGAACACAGGAACTGGCTTAGAAAATAAAACAAAATGTGACCCTTTAAACCCTGTAACATAAACTAAACCCAGTATCCAAGCCTTCTTTTTCCACCGCAATTAATAAATTACCGGTACACCATTCCAGGATTTCTAAAGGGCTTTAGGTTAGGATTTAAACTACATTTAAATAGTCATACCAGATACAAATGCTTCCACATGATTCCCCATTCTCGCAGAACAATGGTCATTTCTTGCACCAATGGGTATTCCGCCGAGTGAATGCTGTCTCGGTCTCTACAAAATACATCGACTTAAAAAATATATTTGGGAAAAGGGGCTTTGTTGCAGTGGTGGGCACTATGAGCAGGACACAGGGGGCAACTAAAACTCCCCCAAGAATTTGAATGATGACTGAATGATAGCCTCTCCCCATGGTGAAGTGTGTGCCGTTGCTTTGTTGTTTTCCTCCATCTAAAGTCTGACAATTTTGTCAAGGAGAAAGTGATAGATATAGAAGTTAAAACTTACTTTGTTGACTCATTCCAGTCTTTCAAATGGATAAACGATGCGGGAAAAATGCCCTGAATAAGTAATTTTTTTAAATTTTTAACATTAACTAAGTTTACAAAAACATCCACCTCCAAAACTATATTGAATAAGGTTATCTTGCTAAACATAATACCTGGATGTTACGATTTCTCACTGAATATCCTCTATACCAACCTAAAATTCCAGTCAAACCTGGTTAATATGCCACAATGTCTGAACTACCAGAAAACATGTGGGTCAGGTTTTAGGACTCAGATGTCACTAGCTGTAGTGTTTCTGTAGCAAAAAACAAACCCTAAACCCTAAGTGAAATGGAATTCAGATATTGTTGTAGTAGGGCCCTGTTGGGGTTGATGCATGAAAGGTGATGATAATTGGCAGTCAAAACCAAGTGAGAGATGCAACTCATGCACTCTCATTCTTGTTTGACCAAGGCTGTTGATCCACACAAGTAATTTTGTTAAATTGCAGTGTACAATTACACATCTATAGACTTGCTCCAAATCCCAAATTTCTTTGACCTACTATGGTGTGAATGGCATGACATAATGCATTATGGAGTGCAAGTAGTCAGTGGATTGGACTCAGAACAATATGAAATAATTTTCTTTAGTTTTTCTATTTCAAAGACAAAATCTTTAAGTTTATAATCTGTTTACTCTTCATTTCAATTTGCTTTTCAAAACTTCCAATGTTTACATGTAAATTCGGAATGTTCGTTGTAAAGTTCCGAAGTTTGTTTAGAAGTTCGTTCCAATGATTTACGATGATCCAATAGCAAGCGATTTGATTGGCTGGTTCATTTAACTAGGATTTTTCAAGCAGGATTTTTCCTATCAAATTCAGAAACATTTCATGTTTCCCAAGTGCGGAAACATTGTTTCCTAGCGTTTGCCCACCTTGGGAAACATGGCTAAACATTGGCAGGAAACAATGTTTCCGCAACAATGTTGCCCAGTTTGCCCTAGACTTGCTCCAAGTCTCTCTTTCATTGTCATATCAATCCACTATAGTGTACATTATATGACGTAGCTATATATGACAATGAAAGAGAGACTTGGAGCAAGTCTAAAGCCCTGTTTAAACGGATCCAACATTGTTGGGCCAACAACATCCAACATTGTTGAAATAATGGCCCAAACGGCTTCTTTTTCAAATATTTTTGTCAAGACTAGGTTTAGAGTTTGAGTAAAGCTTATCTAACCAGAAAGATTTGAAAGAGAAGCAGTCATATCTATTATAGTAACATTGTTGGATGATGTTGGTCCAACAATGTTGGATCCGTTTAAACAGGCCTTAAGTTTGCCCAGGGCTTTACAAAGTACATTCCAAATTTACAAGTAAACATTGGAAGTCAGTTTTGAAAAGCAAATTGAAATTGAGAGTAGTTCTAGTCACTCTTACTTGGTTTTGTTTAGTTTTATTCTGTTCAGAAGTGATTAGTTCATATTTATATCCCATTGAGATTTATCATGATATCATGTTACTTGCATTATAATGGATCAAAGAAATAGGGAACTTGGGGGGCAAGTCTAAAGTAGATGTAGCATTACATTGAGTACATGTAAACAAGCATGTAAATACCCTCTTATAAAATATCAATTTTCAGGAAGTCCTTAAATAAACAGAACCAGTTGGTTGGAATATCCAATATTACAATCGCAATTGCTGTTTATTTATAAACAAATTATGTAGAAAATATTGTGCTCCAGTATTCTAAAATGTAATTTCTAGTAACTTTTACTTGTAATTATTACCAGCTTTGTTTCACAAGGAAGTGAACAGCTAACTTGTTATTTTAATGTTAATTAAATATGTGCCCTGCCGTGTCTTCAAATGATAAGGTAGCATAAACAGTAACTAAAATAAGAAATTCCTAAACTCTGGCAAACCTGCACATTCTTCCACAATTTTCACCGTTTCCCCAAGTACTAAAGGTAATCTGTACTGTCCATTATCATCAAAGTTACAAATTGCTACAGTAAAAATCAAGAGACATTTGCTATAAAATTAGCGACAAAAATTATGATTGCATATTTTGAGGAAGTGTATTAAAGTCAACTCCCACCATGCTTACCAACTCCGAACTTAGGCGAGTCAAATGGCAACCAACTTGACGGTCGATTGTGCTGGCCTTGCGGCTTCATACTTAACGTGATCTTAATTCAACTTTACCGCCAAGATATTCAACAAAAAGGGCAAAATATTGCCTCACATTACGCAAAAGACATGCACACACAACATTTTTTGCACTCGTATGTTTTGACATTCGATTCAGCACACGCAAAACAGGACAGCCACGCGCGGATTTTCGGTTTTCGAATGTTTCCATTGAAAGTATTTTTTCCGAACTACCTAGGCTCATCTTCGTAGTACGAGGTTGAAGAAAAGAAAATTGACGATAACTAATCGCATGAAATCATATGTTACAAAAGGAATACTGCTTCGTGTGAATCCAGAGGTGTGAATCATTGCAAACCGTCTCATTTTTAATATAAAGAACTAATTTACGTATATTTTCGAAACTGTAAGTGGAAGCACTACTTCCTGTTTACTTTTCAACATGGCGATTTTAGGAGTTGGTCATTCTTGATCTTTTCCATTCAAAACACGACGATTTTGGAGCTGGAAAGGCGTGATTGCCAAGATGTTACAGCAAATTGTAGCCGGGCTTAAGTCCCGAAGCCCCGATCAGAAAATGGCGGCTGCCAAACGACTACAACTGCATGTTTCAACCGAACTTCGAGAAGTTTCTGCCGAACAATCGACAGCCTTCATGGAGGATTTGATTCACAGTATATTTGAGATGACTTCCAGCACAGATGCGAGTGATAAGAAAGGTGGTATTCTTGCTATAATGGTGTTGATCGGTGTAGATCAGGAAAATGCAACTTGTATGCCGCGATTTGCTAATTATTTAAGAAATTTATTGCCATTTAATGATCCACATGTTATGCAGATGGCCGCTAGAGCTATGGGCTGTTTGGCTTTAACAGGGGGGGCATATACTGCAGATTATGTAGAGTTTGAATTAAAACAAGCTTTAGAATGGCTCGGCAGCGAGCGCAATGAAGCAAAACGCCATGCTGCCGTGTTGGTGCTTCGTGAAATGGCTTTAAACGCCCCTACATTTTTCTTCCAACAAGTCCAACCGTTTTTCGATAATATTTTTGGTGCTGTTCGAGACCCAAAGAAAGAAATCCGTGAAGGTGCAGTAGAAGCGCTCCGTGCTTGTTTGATCATACTGGCACAGAGAGAAACAAAGCAAACTCAGAAGCAGTCTTGTTATAGTCAAATTTACGAGCAAGCAAAAAATGGCTTTGAAGATACAACAACCACAAAAGAAAAGGGGATAATGTTAACCAAAGAAGATAAAGCCCATGGATCATTGTTGCTTATCAATGAGCTTATCAGGATATCTTGTATAGAAGGTGAACGACATCGTCAGGAGTTAGAAGACACCTACTCGGATCATTCAGAAGATTTAACAAGCGTGGACAAACTTGGTTCCTCACCACTCAAGAGCCGAATTCTTCAACAAAGTGGTAGTCAATCACAGCACCACCTGGATGTGACCTTGACTGGAAACTCCATCAATGATACCCACCATTGTCACAGTCGAATCTGCCGAGAATACCTGGAAGAGAAATTTGATGAGATGTGTCAACTTGTGTTCAAGTTCCGAGGTTACCGTAATTCTTTGATACAGCAAGCGCTTCTGGTTTTGTTGCCACAGTTGGCGTCATTTAATCCAACAAAGTTTGTTCACAAGGGCTATCTAAAAAATTCCATTCAATACCTATCTGGTGCATTCAGACGTGAGAAGGAAAGATCTGCTGCATTCAAAGCCAATGGTCTTGTCATCCTAGCTGTCCGAAATCAAAGAAAGGATCTGGAGTTGTTATCAAAGATGACGTTAGATCAAATCAAACAAGCATTACCAATGAAAGACACTGGTCATAAATCAAAGCGTCAACTTTCAGTTGACCCAATGGTGTTTGCATGTATCAGTTGTCTGGCAAGAGCTGCTGGAAAGAGCATCTATAACCCACTCAAAGAATTACTGCAACCCATGTTATCTGTTGGTCTCAGTCCTGCTTTGACCGCTTGTTTATGTGATCTTGCTCGAGAGTGTACTCAACTGAAGAAAAGCATCCAAGATGGTTTGTTGACAATATTGTCACAAATTCTAAGAAGTCGGTCATCTCGATCAACCCAACCAAAAAGTTCAAGCCAGCCAACTACTCCTGCAGGCACTGCTTTGTCAACCGACCAAACTGAAACATCTAACATTGTTTTGGCTCTAAGGACACTTGGTTCATTTGACTTTGATGGTCATCAGTTGATATATAATAAATTGATCAGGCACTGCTCAGAATCATTTCTTGCCAGCGAGAACAAGGATATTCGTATGGAAGCTGTTCGAACATGTTCGAGACTCTTGTCACCTTCTGTACACCCGATGATTGTCCCTAATGCCCCACTAACAACTGGACCAATCAGCCCAGCTTTACAACAGCTTGTCTCAGAAGTTTTGGAGAAACTTCTCTTGGTTGGAATAACAGATGAAGACCCTGATATCCGTTTCTGTGTATTGTCCTCATTAGATGAAAGATTTGATTCTCATTTGGCTCAAGCTGAATGCCTGGAGCAGCTCTTTGTAGCTTTGAATGATGAAGAATTTGAGATCCGTGAAGTCGCAATTTGTACCATTGGGCGTCTCAGCGGCCTGAATCCTGCGTACATTATGCCAACATTGAGGAAGACACTGATTCAGATTCTCACTGAACTTGAGTACAGTGGTGTGGGAAGAAACAAAGAACAAAGTGCAAAGATGCTTGGCCACTTAGTTCGGAACGCACATCGCCTAATTCGACCTTACATGATACCGATTCTTAAAGCGCTCATTCCTAAACTCCAAGACCAAGATCCAAATGTTGTGACGAGTGTTTTATCAGCTGTTGGTGAACATGCTCAGGTGTGTGGCACAGAAATGAAGAGATGGCTTAACGAACTATTCCCCATCATCATTAACATGTTACAAGATGCATCGTCCTTGTCCAAACGTGAAATTGCACTGTGGACGTTGGGACAACTTGTTGAAAGTACAGGTTACGTTGTTGAACCGTACCAAAAGTATCCCAACCTGCTTGATGTTCTCCTGAACTTCCTGAAGACGGAACAAGCATCTGGCATTCGTAAGGAAGCAATCCGAGTTTTAGGACTCCTTGGTGCTTTGGACCCATACAAGCACAAGCTGAATCAGACTGGAGGAGTTCGTATTGATTCTGGAGTCAGCCAAGATACTGGTGAGAACATGGAATCAATGGACAATACAACAAGTGAGATCTTAGTGAACATGGGAAGTGGACAGCTGGATGAGTTCTATCCTTTGGCAGCATTGGGTGCGCTAATGCGAATCATGCGTAATCCATCGTTGTCTGCGCAACATTCAAAAGTTATTCAAGCTGTAACTTTCATCTTTAACAGTATTGGTATGAAATGTGTCACATACCTCCCTCAAGTTATGCCTCCGTACTTGACTGTCATACGAACATGTGAAACATCCTTACGCGACTATGTCTTTCAACAACTAGGCATGCTAATTGGTATCGTGAAGCAGCACATCCGCAGCCATTTGGATGAGATCTTCACCCTGATCAAAGAGCACTGGACAATGGACAGTTCACTTCAAACCCTGATCCCACTTGTTGAGACGATTTGTGTGGCCATGGGCGGAGAATTTAAGATCTACTTGCCACAAATTATTCCACAGATCTTGAAGGTTTTCATGCATGACAACTCGCAGAATAGGATCTACACTTTGAAACTCCTGACTGCATTTCAGAAATTCGGCTCAAGCTTGGATGACTATCTTCATCTAATGATCCCACCAGTTGTGAAGCTCTTTGATTCCAGCGATATCTCAAATAACGTGCGTAGCAGTGCTCTTAAAACAATAGAAAAACTTTGTGAGCAGCTTGATCTTACCGATTTTGTGAGCCGAATCATTCATGCTATTGTCCGTACCCTTGACACAGCGCCAGAGATGCGTGTACCAGCACTCGCAACACTCTGTGCCCTAGTCAGTCAACTAGGAAAGAAATTCATTACTTTTATCCCAATGGTGAACAAGGTTATGGTGAAGCACAAAATAAGTCACAAAAGGTAAATAAAATTTTAGAATCGGTGCTTAGTAAAAATTCCCAAATGGTTTTCGTGTAAATGGTTTTATATATATATACACGTTGGATATCAAGTGTGTACTGGTCGGCTCTAAATTGTTCATTATTTTGAACGAATAATTCTTAAAACTACAGTTTATAGTACAGTAATTTCATTTATAGATTTTTGTTTTCATGTATCGTTGAGACATTTCACAAAACGCGAGTTGAATTCATAGGGGGAAAGTTTAAATCCGCTGTATGAACTATCCGAAGTACAAAATAATATGATGTACATAATACATGAAATCAATCATGCATGATATGTTCATGTCGCAAAAAAGTTTAGTGACCGAGACAGTCCGGGAAGGTCAACCGTTGAACAAATCGATTTGTTCTTCGGTCGTTCATCAAGCACATTTCAAACTTTCCCCCTTTGAACTCAAATTGGGTTTCAAAACTCAAACCAGTTTTAAACCTTCCATTTTTGTGGGCAAGCCGCTTTTGATGCAATGTTGACAGTTTGCTAGAGTTATATAATTCGTGATTTTGATTGAAATTTGAAATCTTGGATTAACCATCTAAATTTCTTAATTACAACCTACCTTTGCTTTAAATTTAGCTAAAAATTTAAATTCTAACCTAATATAGGTATGATGTGACTGTAGCTAGGATCCAGCGAGAGTCGACGATGTCATTTTGGGAAGACGAGCCGTTCCTTAAATCGACGAGATCTAGTCGTAGTTCTCAAAGTTCCGAATCATCAAATGTTGTCGAAACTGGTTTTAAGAAGCTTCAGATGACCGTCAATAGTCTACAAAGAGCGTGGTCTTCCGCACGATGTGTCTCGAAAGATGATTGGTTGGAATGGCTTCGTCGCCTCAGTCTGGAATTCCTTAAAGAGTCCCCTTCACCTCCATTGAGATCTTGTTGGGCTCTTGCTCAATCCCATCCACCGCTTGCCAGAGATTTGCTAAACGCATCGTTTGTGTCCTGTTGGTGTGAACTTCATGAGGAGATGCAAAATGAACTCGTGAAGAACCTCGAACATTCCTTAAGATCTCAGAATATCCCTGAAGTGACGCAAACTTTGTTAAACCTGGCCGAGTTTATGGAGCATACCGATATCGGATCATTGCCTCTGAGTGGAGAATTGCTTGGTCAGTGTGCGTCGAAGTCTAGAGGTTATGCCAAAGCTCTTCATTACAAAGAACAGGAGTTCCACAACGGTCCAAACACCGAGACACTTGAAGCGTTAATTAGCATCAACAACAAGCTACAACAACCTGAAGCTGCCTATGGTATCCTGTCGTATGCCATGAAAGACCATGGTCCTGATATGAAGATGAAAGATCTGAAAGTGAAAGAACGTTGGTACGAGAAGCTTCACGAATGGGAAAATGCTTTACAAGCTTACCAGAAGAAACTGGAAGAAGACCCAGAGGTTATAGAACACACGTTGGGAAAGATGAGATGTCTCGAAGCTTTGGGAGAGTGGGGAGAACTCCATAAAGTTGCTTGTCGAAAGTGGCCGGATGTCAGCGATGATACCCGTAAAGACATGGCACGCATGGCGGCCGCAGCTGCATGGGGTCTTGGTAACTGGGAAAGCATGGAGGAATACACGTGTCTTATTCCACGCGAGACATTAGACGGAGCATTTTACCGCGCAGTCATGGCCCTTCATCAAGATCACTTTCAACAAGCTCAGACATGTATCGATGCCGCTCGAGATGTCCTGGATACCGAGTTAACTGCGAGAGCTGGTGAGAGTTATAATCGTGCATACGGAGCAGTCGTGAATGCACAGATGTTGTCCGAACTGGAGGAAATTATTCAATACAAGCTTGTACAAGAACGACAAGAAACCATCAAGCTCACCTGGTGGAACAGACTACAAGGATGTCAGAAAGTCGTTGAAGATTGGCATAAAATCCTTCAAGTTCGATCCTTAGTGTTGAGTCCTCAAGAAGACATGCAGTCTTGGTTAAAATACTCAAGTCTTTGTCGAAAGAGCGGCCACCTGGCGTTAAGTCACAAAACCTTAGTTATGCTTCTGGATAAAGATCCCTCGAAGAACCCAGATGAGCCTTTACCCACCACATATCCACAGGTTACCTTCGCCTATATGAAGTATATGTACCGCAACGGACAGAAGCAGGAAGCATTTCAACACCTCCAGCATTTCGTGCAAACAACTTTGCACCAGCAAGCCTTGCAGTCAATCAGCCCTCAGGACGAACAGAAAAGACAAGAATTGTTGAAACTCCTAGCTCGAGGTTATCTGAAACTCGGTGACTGGCAGACCGATCTTGCTGGCTTTAATGAAGACACTATCCCGATGATCTTGAAACACTACAAGGCCGCAACAGAGAACGATCAGACGTGGTATAAAGCATGGCATCAGTGGGCTTTTATGAACTTTGAAGCTGTATTGTACTACAAGAATCGACAGTATTTACCCGATGATAAAGATGATTCAACGAATCCGATCGTCAACTATGCCGTCCCAGCTGTTCAAAGTTTCTTCAAATCAATCGCGCTTTCTAGTCCAGGAAATTCACTTCAAGACACCCTGAGATTGCTAACTCTGGCCTTCGACTTCGGAGAACTAACGAATGTTTACGATGCCATCGTGGAGGGTATGAAAACAATCGAAATCGATACCTGGCTACAAGTTATTCCACAACTCATCGCCAGAATTGACACACCTCGGGAGCTGGTTGCCCGTCTTGTACAGCAATTGTTAACTGATATTGGTAAACAGCATCCTCAGGCTCTTATATACCCGTTAACTGTCGCCTCGAAGTCGGCAAGTCCCGCCAGATACAACGCAGCCAATCAGATCTTGAACAACATGTGTGAACATAGTCAAGTGTTGGTGCAACAAGCGATGATGGTCAGTGAAGAATTGATTCGCGTCGCCATCTTATGGCATGAACTTTGGCACGAAGGACTCGAAGAAGCCTCACGACTTTATTTCGGTGAAAAAAACGTGAAAGGAATGTTTGCTGTTTTGGAACCGTTACATTCTAAGATGGAACGCGGACCACAGACACTAAAGGAGACCTCGTTCAGCCAAGCACATGCGCGCGATTTGATGGAAGCCCAAGAATGGTGTAAGAAGTATCAACGATCTGGAAACGTAAAAGATCTAACCCAAGCATGGGATTTGTACTATCACGTGTTCCGTAAGATTGCCAAGCAGTTACCTCAGCTTACCTCACTGGAGTTGCAGTACGTCTCACCAAAATTGCTCATGTCCCGAGATCTGGAACTAGCTGTCCCAGGCACGTATGAACCTCATAAACCCGTCATTCACATAGGTCATGTCCACTCATCACTGAATGTCATCATTTCAAAGCAACGGCCAAGGAAACTGGCCATCACTGGCAGCAATGGAGCAGAGTTCATGTTCTTATTGAAAGGTTAGTTACTTTAATCACCCACTTTAGTCTTATTTTAACTACATTCTAACTTATTTCAGCTAATTACAGCCTAATAATGAGTTAAAAACAAGTAATTCATTCCAGAGCTTGGTTGTACCACCCGCTATCCACCGGATAGTGATTTTTAACCTTTGTTAAATCACTATGTGCAACCGGCCCCTGGACTATATTACTAGAGTGAGTAATATATTCTAAACGGTCGAAAAGCGACATACAACCGGACTCAGACGATTCTTGTAGCTACTTCTTTAGCAATACTTTTTATCTTTATAGGACATGAGGATCTTCGCCAAGATGAACGTGTCATGCAGTTGTTTGGTCTAGTCAACACACTGTTGGACAAAGACCCGACCACCTCGAAGCGACATTTGAGTATCCAGCGTTACTCCGTCATTCCACTGTCTACAAACTCCGGTCTCATAGGCTGGGTCCCGCATTGTGACACCCTCCACGCGCTCATTCGGGACTATCGCGAGAAGAAGAAGATATTATTGAATATTGAACATCGGATTATGTTAAGAATGGCGCCAGATTTTGACCACCTCACATTAATGCAAAAGGTGTGTACACCCCTCCCAGCTATAACAATCACTATTGGTAGTCTTGGGTCCATAAAACATTCTGTTTCCCTAGACAATAAGATTCGGACTTGTACAGGACTCGATCTTAAATGTTTAATTCCAGACGAGGCAAGTCACAAGTCTGAACTCGCGTCCTACAAAACTAGCTTAATTAATAACGAGCAGGAATGCCAGGAAACGCGTGGTTAAAACTTTACATGTAATAAAAATACAGGGAGTTTTGAATGGTTTCAAAAATTGCTGGTAGTCTCTCGTTTCTCGAAAACGATTTGACAAATTATTTTATATTTAAAGCCAGGAACCTGCTTCGTTCTTTAGAGAACATTCCTTCAATTGTAGGAGGTCTGACCAGCTGTGAGGTGCCTATCGAAAAATACTTCATTTTTATATTAGAACCTTTTTCACTTATATGTGTAACAAAATACCAGTGATCCGAAAGCTTCTCTAACAAGTCAATGTCGTAGCCGGACTCAGCTTGTGGGGCGAGTCTACATTGGCACGTAATGTTAAAAAATTACATATGTCAATTTTAAACATTTATCTATATAATTTGACTATTCTAATTTACTTTAATAATTTGACTATATTAATTTATACTAATTTGGTAAGTAAATATATTATACATTTTGTGTGTGTGTTGGTGTCATGTACTCAGGTGAATATGATGTCTGAGTGTGCATCCACACCGGGCAAGCTTAAACGTTTTCCTGACCACGGTGGGAATCGAACCCGCGACCTTTGGGATACTAGTCGAACCGACTTGACCTCGTAGCTCAGTTGGTAGAGCATTGGACTAGTATCCCAAAGGTCGCGGGTTCTATTCCCACCGTGGTCAGGAAAACTTTTCAGCTTGCCCGGTGTGGATGCACACTCAGAGTAACACCACAAACATCAAGTAAATATATGTCAATTCTCAACATTATTTTCATATTGCAGGTTGAAGTATTTGAGCAAGCCCTAGCAAATACCCAAGGTGATGACTTAGCCAAACTCTTGTGGCTCAAAAGTCCAAGCTCTGAAGTCTGGTTTGACCGTCGTACAAACTACACCCGTTCTTTGGCCGTTATGTCCATGGTTGGCTATGTCTTGGGACTAGGAGACCGACATCCTTCGAACCTTATGTTGGACCGTCTCACAGGCAAGATTCTTCACATCGATTTTGGCGATTGCTTCGAAGTCGCTATGACACGAGAAAAGTTCCCGGAGAAAATTCCCTTCCGATTGACAAGAATGTTGATCAATGCAATGGAAGTCACAGGTAAGGATGGTGGTGGTGGTGGTTAATGGTATTATTTGTGGTTGGTGATTGTTCTATCAAGGTGGTTTGGTAAAAATGGTACGTAGTGAGAGTTCTGATGTTGATGGTATTATTGTGTAGTTGTTCTGTTGAGGTGGTTGATGGTGGTGTTGTGATGGTAGTTAATGGTACCATCACCGATGGTAGGTAATGGTACTTACCATCACATGGCTCGGTAATGGTACTTCTGATGTCCAGGGTGGTATTTTTTGTTATGATGGTTATTCTGTTGACTATCTGGTGCGATGGTGATGATACGTGATGGCAATGTGTAATGGTTAATTTGAAAGTATCTAATGTAACAAATAAATAATGTAACAAATATTTTAATTTCCCAATATGTGATGGATGTTTGGCGCATTGATTTTGTATGAAATATTTACGGTATGTAAAACACTATCTATTTTTCTCAAGGCATTGATGGTAACTATCGCCTGACATGCCAACGTGTAATGAGCGTTCTCCGTGAAAATAAAGACAGTGTTATGGCAGTGTTAGAAGCATTTGTATACGATCCTCTGCTTAACTGGCGTCTAATGGACACCGCACCTAAAGCAAAGAAATCTAAAGCTCGCTCGGACTCTATAGCGGACAGTGGCTCGGATCTCTTAGAAAGCGTGCAACATGAAGTACCGAACAGGAAAATGACGACAAACATACAGCAGTTACACTCCATGGACAACGGAAATCGCGAGCCTGAAGCCTTGAATAAGAAAGCAGTATCCATTATCAATCGCGTGCGTGATAAGTTGACTGGGAACGACTTTCCAAACCGTGATGTGTTAGACGTGAAAACACAGGTCGAGTTGTTGATTGATCAAGCAACATCTTATGAGAATCTATGTCAGGGTTATATTGGATGGTGCCCATTTTGGTAACATTCAAGACTCGTATGTTAACATTGAAAGTTTGTATACTTTGAAAACGGGCTTGAATTAAGGCCACGTTTATTTTTTGTTGGATTATGGATTTGGCTCGCCATTATTAAAAGGCGGAAGGGAAAATAAAAATGAAGAATTGTCTAATACCATGTACATCTATAAGTCAAGACAATGCGTGTTGAACACTGAAGTGGTGTTTAAGGTTTAGCCAACATGTCAGCTTGACTTTATTCTCGCAAATTTTATATTTCTGAGTGTCGTGCTCGGAAAATAAATACTAAATGTAAAATATGGTCGGTGAGAAAAAAAACAAACATGGTTTTTAAAACTATTTTTTAAAAATACAAATGTCGGGAAATCCATAATCCAACCAGCGAGCGCTATATATATCTGGAGCAATTGACCTGTGAGAAAAGTAAAGATGGTGGAAATTGACGTCCAATAGCTATGAAGGTCGAAAACAGTTCAGATACCATTCTCCCGAGCTAATTTCAGTTTTTTCTAACGGACAGTATCGCTAAACAAGTTTTCAGTTCACAAAACCATATAGTGTTATTTTTTAAATCGAGGTCAAAATACGAAATTTCGGCACACTCCTTGCCAGCTTCGTGTTAACCGCGCAGATGGGAACGATAGAAAGGGACTGGAACCGACATCCAAATCAGCCAATAGCTCTTCAATTTCCGCCATTTTGGCTTCTCTTTTTGGACTCGAGTTCTCGCTCCAGATGATATATATTTAGAGAGAGAGAGCTCACTGAATCCAACCAAAAAAGCGTGATTTGATTTCTTAATGATTTAATTAGATGCTCTAATATTAGCCAGGGTGTCCACGGGCCTTGAAAATCCTGGAAAGTCCTTGAATTGGAAGGAAAAAATTCCAGGACTGGAAAGTCATTGAAAATTAGTAGAAGTCCTTGAAAGTCCTGAAATTAATTTCCTTAACCTCCAGCTGTGCTAACATTAGTGATTTTGATTAAAATTACTGAATAAACTGAATCAAAGAGGGGCAAATCCGTGCTATTTTCAAAGTTTTTCCCAGTTCTATAGGTCCTTGAATTTACTGAAAAAGGGACCTAAAAGTCCTGGAAAAGGCCTTGAATCTCACCTTCACCAAAGGGTGGACACCCTGATTAGTGTTCTGGGGATTTGACTACCTCCACAACTTTGCATTCCATGCTTGCTAGTGAAATGTGGTCCCTGCAGTCGTACTCCTATAGTCCAATCTAAATTCCTCTATTGTATGTGTTACTGCTGCCGATTTGATATATATAGTCTATGTAAAATGTACACATGTATTTGATCTGAAATTTGGGACTTGAATTTTTAATTTTATATTGACTTTAGTTTCCCGTTCATTAAGGCCGCCATATTTGTGGTTAGGCTTTGGGGGCATATCTGACGTCGGTTGCCGGATAGCGCTATCCATCGGATGGTCAATAGAGACGGATGATCAGTTTGGATGAACGTCGGCGAAGAAGGGATAGTTGGACTGATAATTCGTCTTTGTATAAACGCGGCAAACCGACGGACCATCCTTTCGTACGAACTATCTGCGCAGTTCTAAGGCTTACCGTAGCACGCATTGTTGGATTGCCATTTTGAGTTCTTCGCCAAACCACCAAAATCCATGCAAAAATAATATTTTCCTGTGTAAGTCAAATATAAAACTTCGTGCATATGTAGATTTCAAAGAACGAATGGTGCCACACATTGTGACAAGACAAACTCGACTTAAATTATTTGGCATTCCGGTATATAAGATGACACAAATTTCCTCCAAGATGTCAGGAAATTTCCTGCGAATATATTTTGTTAAAACGTCCTGGCAGCATTGCTGCTGGCACTACCAGACATTTTCCAGGACTGCCCTGAGCTCTCTTTACTTAATCACGACGTAAATTTAATATAACTGCAAACATTAATATATGCAACATTTATACAGTACGACTAATAAAAATTTCTATAAAAATCACACAACATTGAAGACTTTTAACCTCGATTTATATAATGCTAATAGTCATATAGTTATTCCACTTTTTATTAATATCATTTAATTGAATTGGAAAAATTGCAAATACCGACTACTCTTGTTAACCATTCACATGCGAAACAAAGAGTAAAAACACTTTGATTTATACCAAAAATAAAAGAGTCTGCTTACACAGACACATTAAACCATTCCACGAATCCACAGCCTTGTTTGCTGCAAATAATATAGATCCGAACTAATTCCCTTGCGATATTCATTCCCGCTCTATTGCAGCCACAAAAGTTGCAAGAAATTCTTCTCTTCTGTAGACAAAGTTTACTAACAGCGGATTAAAATCCACTGATTAAATATAAAATTAAATATCCACTCCAAACATATTTATGTTCAGTGAAGGTCTTTAAACGCTTCCTCCAACAACAGTGGCACGTTGTACTCACGAGAAAGTACAGAATCCGAGATCATCAAATCTATCTCCAATAGCAGTGACACACCTCAGGTACTTACGACAGAGTACAGAATGAGAGAACTCTATCTTCAACAACATACCTTACTTGGGGCATAGTACCGAGTCTTCTCCAAGTACATTGCATAATTCTTTCAATCTTTCTTGCATTTTGGGAACTCCAGAGAGTTGAGATTCCAGCTGTTGTTTCTCTTCATGTAATGTTAGTCGTGTCGCAGTATCGAGGACCTCCCAACGCCAGCCACCTTCACCGTCAAACTGAAGCAAATGTGTGTGGAACTTCCTGGAAAGTAAACAGTAAATATTTTGGTAGATCAGCGTACTGACATTCCCAGGGCTTTATAGATAACCGTCCGACACAACGATAAACGCTTTGTCCAAATACACCCCTCTGAAAAGTACGTTATCTTGGCTATAGTTCCTCATTTTCGTGTATGTGAGATCAGTTATGAAAGAAATTGAAGAAGGTGGATGCGCTATAAAATAAGGTAAATCTAAAAAGCTCTGAAATATATTTCAGAACCGGCAATGATTGCAAATTGTGGCTAAATAAATTATTCCGTAAAGACTTACCACAAAGAAGCACGATGTGAAATAGTCAACAATGTAATGCCAAGATCTTTGGCTGCTTGATATATCTTTCCTTCCACATCAATGCTCACAGCACTCGTACATTCATCCAGCAGTGCAAACTGTGGCCTTGCAAAAAAAATTAACAGCAAAATTTCAGTAATATTTAGCCCAACTTATCAAGGACCCTCCCCCCCATCGAAGAAGAGATTTATCAAGGACCCCCATCGCTCAAGACTCCTCTTTGTTTGGCTCAGACTGTTCAAATATGAAAACTGCTGGTTATTTCTCATTAACAAAATTGTGTACTACACCTTTGATAAAATAATCTTGCCATTCCCATTCGCTGTTTTTCGCCCCCAGATAAAATGTCCTTCCAGTCACCTGTAGCATCCCAACCTGTTCAAAACAAATTTGGTTTAAATACGTTGCCACGGATTTATGCAAGAGTGAGAAATGATGCCCTTCAAGCAACGATTATCTCAAATGTGGAGATCAGGTGGATCGCGGAGGCGGACGTCAAAGACAACGTAAAAATAGCGTGGCATATCCACACATGAAACACACCATTTTCACGTCGTCTTTGACGTCCGCATCATCGATCTAAATCTGTCTAGTATTCTACAATAAACTGCGATGTCTAACCCAATGGTCTAATAAGAAGCCAACTGGCGACACAGATTGTGTAAAGATTCAAAATTATGCAGAAATGCTCGTCTAAGGGTCCGTGTTCTCACTGTAATTTCTCGTTCTCCACGTGACTACGAAATTCTACAAATCCAGATCAGATGAAGTATACGACCCCCAATAGGCCCACAGCGCTGTATAGAACATGTGTCCTGTGATAGAACTGCTTCGTTCTGTAAAGTGTCTTGTTGTCCTGAGACATGCATTTCAGTACATGAATTAAAGATGTCCTGGATATAATGTCCCCAGGGGCCGGTTGTTCAAAAGCCGGCCAGCTTCAAAATCTGCGTGGCACGTGACCAGCCCAAGCCCTGGTCTTTCCTTCACAAGAGGGAAGAGCCTGGGAACGAGGTTGGCTTCATCCTAGGCGACGTTCTCGTACCCAGAGCCCTTCTTACGCGCGGTGCGACGAGGGGCTCTGGCCAAATCCATATTCCGAACTGGCATCTGATTGGCTAGTTCTAACACCGGACATTGTTTTCTTACCATGTTTTTTATGGTATCCGGTTATGGATTTGGCCAGAGCCCCTCGTCGCACCACGCGTAAGAAGGGCTCTGGGTACGCGAATGCCTAGGTGAACGAAATATTTTAAAGTAATCTTCCCAACAGCTTGTTTATAAACATGGAGATATTTTTCACAAATCTTGTCTGGATCAATAGATGTATTGTTTTTTGACGTTTTGAACTAAATGGATTTGCAGATGTACCCAAACAAAAACAGCGGGTTCAATTTTGACACAGGGTTAGCGCTAATTCAGCTTTGAAAGTTGATTAGTCCAATCCTGGGTTAACCTAAAATTCAAAGCAATATTGTTTATAAAACAGTTTGTTTATAAATTATACTTTTTCAGAAATCTTGTCTGGATCAGAAGGAGTTTCCTTATATAAACTAAAACAGCAGATTAAATTTTAACCCAGGGTTAACGCTAATGCAGCTTCGAACAACTGGCCCCTAGATCATTAAAACGGAACTTATTAAAGAACGAGGCAGTTGATACGGCGCCAACTTATCGAGTGTCGTATGCTTCAATTGATCGATTAATACTTCCTAAAAATAACGAGAAAACCCACCTCCTTCTCTCCGTACTACATGTTGTAAATGAACAATGCCAAGAATGTCTTCCAAATCACTGTCTTTCAGATCTTTCTCTTCCATATCCGCCCTGGAGTCTGGGTAGATCACCTGATCACGTAGGGTGCCCAACGTCATATATGGCCTGCATGGGAAATGAATTTGGATTTCGTTTAAAAAAGTTGAAGCAACAACAGACCGATTCGTTAAAAATTGTCATTCTTTTTTATTCGGAAATTAATTTCAACCAATGTGATCTCTGCCGTCTTATAAAATACTTCATGACTAAATAAATATAGTAATACCTTGTATTCTCTTTGGGAAATTAAATATTAAAAATACTGAAGTTTACACTAGGTTTGGCAAACTGTAAACAAGCCTGACTAGCCTCGTTTTGGTGCTTTTTGCTTGCATGGTTTGTTTTCGAACTTTTGCACATTGCCTTAAATAACGGTCTCTGTTGCAAAGATGTTCGTTATATAGCAAGGTAACTAGTGCATAAAATATAAAATAATGAAAATGAGAGTATGCTAAACAACAGGGTGTCTATCTCCTGGTAAATTATATCATGTTCTACTGTACCTCTGAGGGATATAAAACATGTGCTTAGGATGAGGTCTGCTCATTCTGCCATTATAAATTGGCCATAACCCACTGAGAATTCTGAACAATGAACTTTTTCCACAGCCATTTGGCCCAGTGATGAGTAGATGCATGTTTGCTTGAAGCTACAAGTTTTAAGTACAAAAATTAAATTGACTAAATTACTTTCGTTCTTCCGAGTAGAAGCTCGTACACTCAGGTACTTGGCTGTGAGGCTATTACAAATATGCCAATAAAAAAAAAACAATAATGCCCAACACTTCCTGCTGAGGACTACTTAAACATTCCAAAGAAAGGAAAATTGTTACATAAAGATTAAGGTCACTTGTTGGGATTTAGCTCATTACATGTATCAGGATTTACATACCTCAAATGATAATTTGGACACCACCACATCACCACAAGGTGTTATTATAGGCACTTCAGAAAGATTGATATGATATTCCGAATCATAAATCTCCCCACCAGGCAAGCTGGCAACATCAACAACTTCCCCATGCCTGTGACCTGCACTGATCTTTACCATATCATCATCAATATCATCATCATCAATATCATCTATCATTTCATCTGACAAAGGTTGATTGTCAAGAGCCTTAGATACACTGCGGCAATACTTACCCTTCTTTAGATCTTCAAAAACAGTTATCATTTCCGATACACGGGAAGTATATCCAGCTAGTTCTGTGATCTGAAAAAATTATCATGTCTGATTACGTTGTAGGCATAACAAAGAACCTCTAAATAACATAAACAAGCTTCCAAGAATTCTGGAATGTGACTTGGATACCTCACCTCTTTATAAGATGACATAATTCTTTCAATAGCATCAGCTCCTGACACTAACAGTTGTCTTGATGTTGTAAAGAAGCGAGTTCTTTCGCCTATGCCACCACCATGTTCATTTTCCGTTTCTTTGAAAAATAGCACAAGGTTGATTTTACAATTTTACAATCAACACACTCGATGGGTTAAAGCAAATAAGATATACTTACTGTTTCCAAACATCACAGGAAAAGCCACCATGACAAAACCAGCTGCACCCCAAATGTATTTCATCAGAAATTGTTCTAGCATGATGTACCAAAGACGTTTATTAAAGAGTAACTCCATCTGGGAGGCAAGTGATTGGTAGCTATTCCATAGTAATGAATACTCTACCTTTATTCAAGACAACAATATTAAAGGGAGAGGATTATTTTATTGACATTTCAGACTTGATGATGCATACATTTAATTCTCTCTTAAGAACTCCCCTCCTGAAGGAGGCATCTTGGAAAGGGGGGATTAATAGGAAAGGCAGATTAATGGGAAAGAGGAGATTAATAGGAAAGTGGGATTGATGGGAAAGGGGAGATTAATAGAAAGGGGGATTATTAGGAAAGGGAGATTAATAGGAAAGGGAGATTAATAGGAAAGGGAGATTAATAGGAAAGGGAGATTAATAGGAAAGGGAGATTAATAGGAAAGGGAGATTAATAGGAAAGGGGGATTAATGGAAAGGGGGGTTAATGGAAAGGGGACATTATCAGGAAAGGGAGATTAATGGGAAAGGGAGATTAATAGGAAAAGGGAGATTAATAGGAAAGTGGAGACAATAGGAAAGGGAGACACAGGGAAAGGGAGATTAATAGGAAAGGGGATTAATGGAAACAAATAATGAAAGGGATTAATAATAGGAAAGGACTAATAGGAAAGGAGATCAATGAGGAAAGGAGACTAACAGGTGCCGTGACTAATGGAAAGGGGATTAATGGAAAGGCCAATGGAAAGGATTAATAGGAAAGGAGACACAGGAAAGGAGACTAATAGGAAAGGGGACTAATGGAAAGGGGTTAATGGCAGGGATTAACAGGAAAGGGAGATTAATAGGAAAGGATTAATAGGAAAGGAGATTAATAGGAAAGGATTAATGGGAAAGGGATATTAAAGGAAAGAAAGATTAATAGGAAAGAAAGATTAACAGGAAAGAAAGATTAATAGGAAAGGAGATTAACAGGAAAGGAGATTAACAGGAAAGGGAGATTAATAGGAAAGGAGATTAACAGGAAAGGAGATTAACAGAGGAAAGGGAGATTAATAGGAAAGGGGGATTAATGGAAAGGGGGGTTAATGGAAAGGGGACATTATCAGGAAAGGGAGATTAATGGGAAAGGGAGATTAATGGGAAAGGGAGATTAATGGGAAAGGAAGATTAATGGGAAAGGGAGATTAATGGGAAAGGGATATTAAAGGAAAGAAAGATTAATAGGAAAGAAAGATTAACAGGAAAGAAAGATTAATAGGAAAGGAGATTAACAGGAAAGGAGATTAACAGGAAAGGGGATTAATGGGAAAGGGAGATTAGTGGAAAGGGGGATTAGTAGGAAAGGGGATTAATAGGAAAGGGGGATTACTGTCGTTCCAATTGAAGTGTTCCTCAAATATTGATTCAATACATTACCTCAGGCTAACCAATTCATTTCATCAAGTTCCTCGAGATATTCATACACTTCTTGTGAAAGAGCCAATTCCAAGTATTTGATCATTTCTGGTCACTTCCTTTCTATTTATGATTGGTTAGTTGCACAAACAACAAAGGTGATTGGTGCATTCAAACTATTCAACAGGAAGTTTACAATTATACTAGGAAGTGTATGAATATTTCGAGGAACTTGATGAAATGAATTGGTCAGCCCGAGGTAATGTATTGAATCAATATTTGAGGAACACTTCAATTGGAACGACAGTAATGGAAAGGAGAGATTATCAGGAAAAGAAAATTAACAGGAAAGGGGGGATTAATAGGAAATGGGGGATTAATAGGAAATGGGGGATAAATAGGAAAGGGGGACTAATGGGAGGGGGTAACAAGAAAGGAATGCTTAACAGGAAATGGAGTTTAATGGGAAAGGGAGCATTAATAAGAAGGGTGGATTGATGGGAAAAGGGGTATTAAAAGGAAAGGGAGATTAAAAGGAAAGGGAGATTAATGGTAAAGGAATAGCCCTACCTTGGCACCATCATAGAATGCAATTTCCTCGGCATTTGTAACAATACGAGAGTGGACAAATCGTAAATTCCCTCTACGTTGTGACTCTTCTGCCACCAGTCTCCCAAACTTCGGCGAGGTTGCTCTTAGAATTTGACCAGAGAGGGCAATCACAACAGCCGCAATGGTCAACGGCAATCGTCCACTTGATCCCTGTCTCCTTGCCATACGATCCAATGTCAGAGAAACCATAAAGGCATCCAATAGAGGTTTTGACAGATGAGAATACAAGTGTGCAACGGAATGACAGAACATTCTCAAATCCTCTGTCAGCCGTTCATCTGCATTTGCAATACGGTTATCAAGATTGCCAACTCTGTAATACACTTGACTTGAAAAGTACAAATTGTGAGTATACTCAGTCAGCCTTGTTCGAAACGCAAGAGCTAGCTTACTTTCCAAATATCTGAGCATACTATTTGTAAAAGTAGCAGGCAGAGCCATTCCAAGCCATTGTGAAAGACGTATAACAAATGCTGTGAAATCTCTTTCAACAACAGTTTTAACTAAACGACCGTCCAAGGTAGCAATATAAATGGATAAAAATGTCCTCATTACCAAACACGCTGAATGTAGAGCTAACAGCCCGAATTCTTTGCACCAAATGCGAGGAATTAAAATCTTTAAAAGTTTTAAAACTTGTCTTAAAAACTCCAAGTTAAAAGCTGGTGTCTCGCCCGAGATCTTGTCTTGGACATGTGCGGTATTGCCCAGTTTTTGATGCAAATAAAAACGCAAACACTTCATAAAACGCGGTCCATATTTTTTTGCAAGAAAGAGAGTAACAGCAGAACCTGCAACCAATCCAATGGTTTGACATTGTTGTCTTGTCCGGCCAAAAACTGGCATTTTATAAATAAAGTCAATCTCTGTCTTTTAATTTTTGGACCTTGTCCTTGTAAAGCATTTTGATTTTTGAATCAGGTGGTCTACACGATTGGATACACGACAAGCTTTCAATATGGCGACCGGTTGTTTTGCGGTAAAAATGAAAATATCATGTCGCAGAACGAAGTGTGTTGGAAAACCGAAACACCCACTTTACAACCTTTTGAAATGCGCGACATAGATGAAAGGCAAGCAAACTTAGTAAAATGAAATTCAAATTGTATAGTCTGGACAGTCTGAATATAAAGTCTGATATAAACCTCGATATAAACTAGAAGTAACATTTAAAAATTAAAAGTAATGGAATGAATATTATTAAAACATATAACCTAGGTAATAAGTCCTATTTGAACTTTTAATTTGCTTCTGTATCACACACCCCAGTTGGATTTCCATTTATCGGGCAGGGAAGCAAAATAAACTACTTTTGACGGATCCAATGATAATGAGGAGTTGTGATTGGTTTTCAGCATTTGGTAACGTCACTTGCGGTTTGTGTGGTTTGTTCATTTCTTTTGTAGTCTTTTTTCCCACGTTGCCGAAAAATAGTTCTATGCAATATAAAACGTGATATTGAAGTGAAAGTTACTGTTCATGCAATTTCATAAGGTAATCCAGGCCGCCTCTGAGAGAGAAGATATTTCAGTCAATCAGAGGAACTTTTGTAACATTCCATACTTCCTATGGGCCTTCCTAGCCTGCAAATCAGTCAAAACTCAAAAGGCCAAAAACGGCTGCTTTGCAAGCTAAGGCCTTCCAAGATATACTTGAATCCACACTTAGGGCCTGTTTATATGATCCCGGCCAGGCGGGACGGGATGCTTACCGAGATCCCGCGCGTAATACAAATTTTAAAGAGTGCATGTTTATATGATCCCGCGGGATCTCGGCAACAGATGCCGGGATCTCGGCAACAGATGCCGGGATCCCGCCTACTAAGCGAGATGAAAAATTCCCATATAAACACTTCATCCACATCCCATCCATCCCTTTTGAGCATGAAAACGTCCCGTCTAGGCGGGATCATATAAACAGGCCCTAAGTCTTACCCGTTTATCAAACAATTCGTACTTATTTAATGCAATTCTAAATATCCCTATATACTCTATACAGTACTGACTAGTAGTACGTCGCCGATTTCACAACAAAACTCGCAACTTCGGCCCGAACTGACATAATTTCTTAACATCTTTGCACTTCATCCATTTACGAACACGCGGCAAGGACATTGGCAATTTCTTCGTTTTCAGACACTGTATCAGTATTATTTATTCAAACTATCTCTTCTGTGATTTTGCTGATTTACAAAAGGATGACGATTTAGATTGAGCGTAGAAAAGGACCTCACTCCTATATTATTCCGTACTGATTACTGCATTAAAACACTACGCAGCTTGTCTACGCCCAAATTTAATCGCTACCCACTTCAATACCAAGATAAATCAGCATTTACAGTCTGTTATGTCTTATGCGTTAGACATACTACTTCATTTTTATCACGTTATAAAATAGTCACCATCCATCAGACTGTATTCAGACCTACTATTCACCATGTCCTATAATATATGTACAATGTTTATATAGCAGCCTAGACAGAGAAGGCATTTCATTTCTATATTGCTGGAGTTTAGACTGCAAAATAGCGTGTCATGTTTTGTGGATTCTGGCCGTACATTCTAAAAACACTCTATTTTCTATCTAGAACTAACCTATGTAAGTTAACTTAATCCTCCTGTAGGGGCCGATTGTTCAAAGGTGGGTTAACGCTAACCGTCGGTTACCTAACCTGCTGTTTTAATTTACGTATTTCTGCATTTTTGATTATTTCAAAACTTCAGAGAAGTAAACTCCTATCGATCCAGACAAGATTTATGAAGAATCATTTCCAAATTTGTAAACAAGTTGCCAGAAAGTTTGCTTTGGAATTTTAGGTTAACCTATAGGCCGGGTTAAACGCACTGTTCAGCCTTTTGAACGATGGTTTTTAAGGCGCATTTCAGCCCTTTTAATTGAAAAAACTAACTAGGAAAATCAATTAAGCATAATTCAAGATCACCAAACTTAATGTTTTTAACATTTTTTAAAACATTTTTATTGTTAAAAACATTGAGTTTACTCATCTTGAATTGTGTATAATTGATTTTCCTAGTTAGTTTTTTCAATTAAAAGGGCTGAAATACGCCTTAAAAACCATCGTTCAAAAGGCTGAACTGTGCCTTTAAGCTGGTCGGTTTTCCAACAACCGGCCCTTGGCACTTGCAGGAGCCGGTTCTTCAAAGCTGGATTTCTAACCTTGAGTTAAAATGTAACCCACTCTTTTAGTTTATATGTATTTCTGCATTTCTGTTTATTTCAAAATTTTGGAAACTTCTATTGATCCAGACATGAATAGACCTTTCCCCTTATAACCAAAATTTTGATCTAGGCACGTCTAGATAAATATTTCATCACAGCCTGAAAGAGCATCACAAAATTAGTAATATTCCAACGTTTCGTTGCAAAATGTTGTAAAATGAGGAAAATAGAGCCTTGCGAAGTTTGCAATTTTCAGTCATTTTGCATTACAAACGGGAAATTGCAGCCCAACACCCGAATCGGACGTCAATTTCCCGTTTGTAATACAAAATGACTGAAAAACGGCAAACTTCGCAAGGCTATATTTCCGCATTTTACAAGATTTTGCAACAAAACTTTGGAATATTACTAATTTTGTGATACAACCGGCCCCAGGTTAATTTTCCTGGTTATTTTAACCTATTGTTTAGTTAATTTGACCAGGTCGACTTCCTTGGTTAAATTAACCAGATCAGGTGGATACATAACCAGGGCTCACTTTAGGTTTGACCAGGAAATTATAATCAGAGTGTTCTAACAAAACATGCAATCTAACAAAACATGCTATCTTGAGCCAACGTTCAGTATGCAGATTTCAATCTGAGAGTTTCGTCAAGGATTGTTTTAAAAATTAAAAGTATGGCTAAAATAAAAGACTAAAAAGAAGAGAGGTAAACTACAAGTGAAAGAAGGCAGAAGGCCATCACTCGTCAATCTATTCAAAACAATAAAAAACACATAGATCCAGTCCTTGCAATTTTTAAAAATCACGAGTGTCTCCCAGAGGAGGTCTGTGTTCCTGTGTTCGACGGCAGGTATTTTCCCAAAATGACAATTTGAAGATTCATATTAATAGCGCTAATGCATTATTTGAAACCTGAAATATTGATGTATTGAATGAAAAGAATGTAATGCCTTTAATCAACTGATGCCTCCATAGCATATAGTAAGTGTTTGGTAACCACTAGCACACAAAATTGCTGTCAATAGCTTCATTTTAGGCGGCAATAGCCATTTGCTTCCGAAAAATGGCAAGGACTGGTCTAGGCTAAAAGGAATGATTTTGAATGTGTGGTTCCAGTGTAGGACATGCACTTGAGAGATTGTAGGGTCAAACTACCTCAAAAATATAACAAGAACTTTGGCCAGAAAGACATAACAAAAAGATTACCTTAAAAAACTACAGACACCTTTGTTGTCATAATCAGAGACTCTCAAAAGAAGTTTTTATGTAAATCAGATTATTGGATGGTTTGAGTAACTGAGTAAGCACTAGAATTTTACAAAGATCTGGTAGATTGTGGACAAATAGAGACACTTTAATATAGAGGAAAAAAATTACACTAAATCAGTCAATTTCATTTACACTATTTGTCAAAAAACGCAAGATTATCCATACGATGGAAATCTGAATTAAAATTAATTTACTATTTTGAATGAAAATTAACTTATCATTTTGTTATTAACTATTGATTGAACACATCTGCCACAGAATAGGTGCTTTATATTGAAATTCACCATTAACAATACGAAGATTACTAAATAGATCAAGAATTTTATTATCTATTATTGGTCATCATAGTATTTCAAAGGATACAACTCGAAGACCTCTCTCCATTGGATTAATAACCATCAATCCTTGTGGTACATACACATTAGCATTTTGTTGGTTCACATATTCAGTCAATCTCTTTAAACACTACATTTTTGAAAAATTAAATACAATTATGGATGAAACGCAACATGAACAATTTTGTAAGGCATTATTATGTCATTCATAGACTAAAATAGTTTACTAAAACTGTCTGTACCAGTGTTGGTAGTACCAATGTGAAAATGCTGTGCTGAGTGGTTATATTACTACCTTAAAAAATAAGCAGAAACTCGACGTTTCGAGCGAAGGCCCTTCGTCAAGAGTTAGAAAATAAAATAGTTTACCTTATCATACTGTGTTTCAAAACAAAGAAGGCTGAGGTAGCCTGTCAAACATCCCAGACAATTTTCAAAATATGAACCAACACTTATTCTTTCAGCATCATCCATTATTTCATTAATTCCTTGGATTGTGTGTAGAAATTTTTGATCATCGATCTAAACAAATTGAAACCCTTTGAGTTTCCTTCGTAGAACTTTCAGTGCTGTTTGTGCTTGCATATAAAAATTGCTTATTATTATTGTATAAGTTCTTTGAATGTTTGCATGGCGATAAAATATAATTGTTTTTGTTTGTGGAAACACCACGTAAATGCAGTAATAAATTTACGTGGTGTTTCCACAAACAAAAACAATTATTATTGTATAATTTTAACATTACTTTATTCATGGTGCGATAATTCACTTATTCACCAATAGCGACGCCATCTTGAATTCATGATGCATTATGGGTTATCCAGGGTGAAAATCCAAATTCAAAAGCCTTTAACGTCGTATTGAGACACAATACAATAATTTTTTTTTCATAAACACTTTCTTGAGGCCAATGAGGGAGTGTAAATCAATTTTATGCGCACTTTGTTGAAATTATTTCCCTTTTTAGGTCTAACAAAGATTTAAACTATAGATTTTATCCTGATTTTTTTATTTTTCCCAGCTTTTGTGTGTTTTCCTAGTTCTTTTAAAAATTGTCTGTTATTTTCAACTATAAAAACGTGTGTTTTCGCCTACATATTTGATTTACAGCCCTTCAAAAACGTTCAATTACCCTGGATCACCCATAATGCATTGTGTTAAACACGAAATTCAAGATGGCGTCGCTATTGGTGAATAGGTGAATTCAAGATTTTTAGTTGTGCCTGACTGGCACTCCAATACCTTGGCTTAGTCCTATGGTACCAGAAAAATGTAAGTATGCAGATAGCTCTGCATACCTACATGGTTGAAAAAAAAGTACCAGCTAGACCATAGTATCCCCCAGTATGTAAGTACACGATTTATCGCATCCTGCTTTATCTCAACTAGGGATTCTTATTTATAGGAAATATTATTCAGTAAGTTGCTACGGTTTCTGTCACTACTGCACAAAGGGATTAAATACACGGCGACATATAATTAAGTAATGGCCATTTTTCAGGCTTTAGTAGTGGGAGATATCACATTTTCTCACTGTATATTACTAATGAACCCCTAGCAAAGGGCTTTTGCTCACAACTTCAAAAGGGTTTTCAATATTTTTCAGGTAGGTCATACCAGTATGCAATTTATAATTTTTGCCTGACACATTTTCCCACAAGCATTTTTGGTGAGAAACGTTTTTCTAATTTTGGAACACTTTGTAATTCATCAAACAAAACGTCCAGGTCTTTTAGATTTTACTAGCGTTCGCTTGCAAACAATGCTCTGTGCCATTGTTTGGAAAAATTGTAATGTTCCTAAATCTCTGCAAGAATGATATTTGGTGGGAGTTTCCTGGCATTCCTTCTTACCACAAATCTGTGGTGGGAGTGTCCTAAAATACACTAGGGACTCCATACATAAACCATGGCATTCAATTACTACAATGGTAATCTGATATTTAACACAAAATGAATGGCAGGGCTTCCTAAATCCTTGCATTTTAATACACAAAGATAACATGGGAAGTGAAGCAAATTCAATTTTGATCAATTTTACAATATTTTCCAGTGTGGCTCACTGTGGCATAGTTTGAATATTTTCAGTTTTTCATTCAAAGAAGGCTTCCTTAAACTGAAAATAGAGCCAACGCCCAAATATAGCAAACAATACATACAATTTAGTTTATATATATACCAATTATTCATGAACTGTGGTGATGAGCATTGAACATTAATAAAATAAAACAATCACACTAGATTGTATTGAAGATCATGATATCAAACGGATAGCTGTAGCTACTTTACACACAAGACTCTTTCATAACAATACTTACCTTTCCTTGTAACTCAACTGGCATTTCTGTCATGAATCGACAATTCGTTCCACGAGAATAATCGCGTTGCACAAATACTTTCATGACAGTGTTCTGAGCCATATTTTGTCGATTTTGATACAGTTTGGCGCGTTATATCGCGAAATAACCTATTTTCAAGTAATACATATGTCTCAACAAAAGTTTAGGTTTGCAAAAAGCTACAGAATTTGAAAAATTTGAAGATATTATTCAGAAAAAAACAAATATTATGAACAAAGCCAAGCGATCTTTTCGGTAGCCATTTTGACAGAACTAAGCCGATTACGTCATAGCCAGAAGGCGTGTCCAGAAAACCAGGGGGGTACGAATGCAGTGGAAATTTTTTTACCAATATAGATCTTTTCACAAAAAGCGACCCAACTCCATAACCGCAATGCATTGTGGTCCATCGATAATAAAATTAGTTAGAAGGGTGGACAAGACATCTTCATGGGGAGAAACGATGCTAAAAACTTAGCATTTTCTTGAAAATCCCAAAGATAAACATTTTTTTACTCCGCTACATTCATTCCATGCATAATAAAGTAGTAGATTTTGCGGTCTAGTTTGGCGGACACAGGCTTACGCACAACAGTTTTAAAATTTTGCTTTGGTTTACATATGAAGCCGCTCAACTTCTAGTAATGTTTTTTGCCTTGATGGCTTGAAGCAAAATTTTAGCATTGTTGGCTTTTGGTCGTTACAAGCAATGTTCCTGAGAAAACGCTACTGTTGTCTACTGTCCTTTGAATGACTGATGGACTGAAATGGCAAAACAGTGGACGAAGGCTCCCGTGCAAATTCTGTCACCGGTCCGGACGTTTTCCTCTTAGGTCGGGTTTGGGCGGCGAACTTTCCATGCGCCGAACCTCATCAAATTAAATACGGCATAAGTTCGTCGACGTCAGACTTAATTGTACCGTGCCAAAGTTCAAGTACACTATATCAGAAATTTCATTATTAAATTGCCAATATATCATAGGCATATGTTTTTTTAAAAAATTGCTTTTATCGTCCAATTAATAATCTCGGCAGTCCGTCCAGACTCGCGGATACCATAGACACGATGACAAATCATGATGAAAGAATTAATGAAAGGGCCTAAGGACAGAGATAGAGAAGACTCTGAAAATCCTATTTCCAACGATCTAACATTTTTCTGCTCGGCGCCAACCATGCCCCTTTACGTTTATCAATCTTCTTGGGAGCCAACCAATCAAGTGCCACGTTTGTATGTGTTTTTGACGAAGTTAAATAAATAAAATAAAATTCCACTGAAAAATTAAATTTGCAGGATGATTTACTGTAACTGAATTTTTGTGAACGCCAGGTTTTTGCAAACCTTCCGATTGGTTTGTCCAGACTTTTGTCATTTCAAACAATGATGAAGATTAAGCCTAATTAAAGCTTACAGACGGAAGCCTTTCAACAGTAAACATGGTGATGTCCATACATACATGCATGGCCAGCAAACAGTGAAAAATCTTGCAAGACAATATTTAATATTAAAGAAGGCTCAAAAAAGTGGTCTATGAACATTTTCATTGTAAAATATTACAGATAAAAGCAGTGTGTGTACAGCATATATAAATATTTACATCCGTATTGGGATTCTATCTTCGCTAAAAATTGGATATTTCACGTGATAGAAACTAAATATGTCTCATATTAAATATTGCTCAATGACAATGTTATTCTTCATGTTTTTCGTCGGGTAATATGATCATATATAACCAACTGTACATATTTGGGAGACTCTAAAGGAACTCGCGCTGAATTATCACCCGGTGACGGGGCCTTCGGATCAACATTCAAAACCTTCCTATCTCTCTTATTTTTGAACAGCAGTCCACTTGCATTCTCGGCAATAACTTGATAATTTGGCGTAGGGTTAGATGTTGCAGTCTGCGTCTCCCAATTGTAAAAACTCAGATCAGATGGTCTAGGTAGTAGCCGTTTTCTCCCACTGAAATACGGTTCAAAATCTTCAATTTTAAGTCTATGTGCATAATCAATGTAGCCAGAAATTTCCTGACCGCGGGAATTTTTATCTCGTATGAATATAATCGAAGTCATTTTGCCGCTACGATTTGCTTCTTCACGTTGTGCGAGAGCCTTTAGAAACGGATCTTTTAGCTCTTTTCCAAAGCTGGCTAACGTTTTCTGTTGACTTCGTTTCGACAACCGACTCGCTTCGGCCGCTTGTTTTCGAGCCTCAAATTCTTCACGTTTGAGCACTTCTCCCGAGCCTCTGTAGCCAAGTTCAACCAATTGTCTTGCAAGTTCTTCATCTTCGAGGTAATAAAGATCTAGAGGTGTTATTTGGCTGTCTAGAAAGTCTTCGTAAGTTGAAAATTCGGTGACAATATTGTCTGTCGCTCCTACCGTTTCGTCCTCCATATTGTTTTTGGTTGCGTTGTCATGGGAATACGACAGCTCACGACATTCACCGAATACCATTCGAATACCGGTGGGAAAGTTAATGAGAAAATCTCGTTACATCAACTTTGTGCTTTTCTAAGTTTCTTGTGCATTTTATAATAAAGAGCGTTTGTACTTACTTGTAAATCAGTTGGTCTTATTATTATTCTGTAATAGAATCAAAACATAAGAAGAACAAATGAAAACATCTTGAAAACCCAAAATATGGACTATTAATTAACAATTATTCGCCGAAGGCGAGGTGATTATCGGTGAATAAAAACCGAGACGAAGTCGAGGTTTTTATTCACGATAATCACCGAGCCTGAGGTGAATAATTGTTTTAGTATAATTTCATGGGTGATTATTTGGAAAAAAAATTAAAAATGCACATTTCTTCGTCTTTTAATTGACAAAACGGCTTCGGCCGCCATTTTGAAAATCGCTTAGGTGATTATCGCGTAATAATCACCTCAACGGTAACCAATCAGCGTGGAGAATTTTCAATAATCACCTATGTAATTATACTAAAAGTCCATATTCTGGGTTTTCAGGATGTTTTCATTTTTTGGACTGCGAGCAGCCAGCAGAGGGTCTAAAAACGCACGATTGCAAGCCTGGTCCTTCACCTTGGGGCCGAATAGAGAGATATAGCCATATTTATTTATTTTATTTACCCCAAAACAGGAAGGGCGCATCCACAGAGCCGAAGCTCCAATAACGGGTTCCATATACTGACATACTGTGCCTCCCACTCCCGCTTTTTGAATGATCTAACTCTACGTGACATCGATTTCCTACGTGACACCACAGCTTTAAAGCTGTCAGGGCTTAACATTTTCCACGTTGTCTGCTAATTAAAGTTGTTTTTCATTTAATCAATGGCCTGTCTGAACAGACAAGAATTTCTGTTTTCTGTATACGTATTATTAATAATGGAAAGATCCGGTTCAAGTATTCCGAAAATCTGGCCAAAATGGATCTCCTTTTGATGTTATCCGAATTTTCCGGTCATACCTGCCGAAGTTTATAAAACATTTTGTGTTCCTTTCAACAGGATGGTCGATCTGAGCGGTTTGACCAAACTGTGGTTTGACGGTATCAAGCACTGGAAAGTGCCCTAAAACTGGCTTAATTGTACACTATTTCACCTGTTTTCCATTGCGGGACCTTGCGTGTTGCATTATATTGCCCTAAATGTCGTGCCCAGACAAAGTGTCGTGTCCTGGTGACGGAAAACACCGCACAACCACAAAAGGGTTGTAATGTTTAGCCCAACTTTGTGTAGGTATGACAACCTTATAGAAAATAAGAGGCTCTTTGTTTAAACAGGGAAATATATATCTTAATTGAAGAAAAAAGTATAGACCATTGCCAAGCTTCCTCCCTTCCTACACTTAAAAAATACTTTCATAATTTAGAAAAAGAAATTTTACACAAAAAAACATAAACTGTATTACATATAAATAAGAATGTATCAAAATTGTTCGAAAATGTATGAAATACAAAGCGGGATTAAAACAGGTGAATGAATTGTCTGTTTGACCAGACTTGATGAAAGGCTCTGTTTAAATCAACCCATGACGTCATACGTGTATATTGTATCATCCGGTTACCTTGGCACAAAGTTCAATGCCAGTCAAGGGCAAATTTTGGGCTATAATTTCAATGAAAATAAATCACATATATTTTGGAAAAAAATATAGGAAAAATAATACCTTGAGGATTAAAGAGGTGTTAAATTTTAAACCGAAAGTAAGCAGGAAATTTTTTTCCATCCGAGTTGATTTACGTAATACAGAGGGGGGTTCTCGCATCTGATTGGCCAATATCGACGTCGCTTGGCAACGCAGTCTCGTGATTCAGCGACCGCGGGTAAGATATCAAAACAATAACAAACCCGAAGGAAAATTTTACGCTAATTTTGTTCGAAGCTGTTGTCTTTTGAAAATCTCTGGCAGAATACGGAATAAAGTGGCTTTATCAAGACTTACCCTCGATGTATTCTGAATGGCGAGTAAAAACGGTAGGGGAATTGTTCTAAACGCATAAGCTTGACAAAAATACAGACATCTTTCGCGGGTTTTGTGCTGTTCTCGTGAGAGACATCGCGGGTTTTTTACGACAATGAAGGGAAATAAGTGTAGTTTAACACAGGATTTTTTCTTAATTTTTAGCCTGCTTGGGAGGGCGATATCTTTGGAAGATTAACACCACCTCCAGAAGATATAATTGAAATGGAACAAGGGTTCTTTTGCTTTCCAACGAATATCCTTGGAGAACAATCATGCTGTGAACAGCCTGGCAATACTGAAGAGGAAAACTTGCTGTTGGATCTGGAATCTGATACAATATGTCCGCGTGAATTTGATGGCAACAAGAGCGGGCCAACTTTAGCAGAACTAAATGATACTAGATCACGTTCCCCGCTTATAAACCCCGAAATGAAACGACTTCATCAGGTGGCGATTTTAACAGTAGCCGATACAGATGAAGAGCCGATGTGCGAGAGTACATCCAAAACACAAAGCTGTTCTGTGTTAGAACGACAACTGAAAACCCAGCAAACGGCTAGTGTATATCATGAACAACACATGCCGAGCTATAGCAACTGCAGTACAGCCGTGTCAACGACTGTCACTAGATCTAAAAGCATACCCATACCCAAGAGGGATATGAAACTGGCTCATCAAAGCGTCTGCCTATCTCCCCCTTCCCCGCAAGACAGAAAACCCTTGTTCCAAGACAGAAAACCGTTTGAAAATTTCTACCAAACACAGAGCATTCAACAGCAATATATTACACCACAGTTTGGGACTAGTTATACAGCTCAGAGAACGGAGATAACTAGCCCAGGTTATCCTGCAGAGACCGCTTCGAATTCTCAACTATCACAACAACAAGAATCTGAAACATCTGCTTCGCATGAGCAGGTAGTAAATCGTGCGGCTTCGAACGCATACCAGAGCGAAAATTGCGATGAAAGTGATGAAGATGATGAGATGGACAGCGAAGCCGAAGATATTGAGGAAGAATACTGTCCTTTTCAAAAAGAAGGCAAAACACCAGCTCGGAGGAAGGGACGAAAAAGCGAAAGCGAGGACATGGTACCTAATCCGACAAAGTTACTAAGCATAGGCCGGGAGTTGGACAGATTGAACAAAATTATAAGTTGTCTCAAACCGATCAATGAAGTGCCTCAACATTCTCGAGGGCGATCGAGAAGGGAGAAAAATAAGCTTGCTTCAAGGTATGTAAATATGGGATGTTTTCAAACCATTATTTCCGACCTTGACTACACTCTATAGAGCTGAACCGGATGTAGTTAACTCTACTTTTAGCAAGGTTTTTTTCCTAATAGTTCCTATCCAAATTTGTAGAGGCAATAACAAGCCAAAAATACTAGTAATAGCTACTTTATCAGGCTACAAAAACAAACGAACGAAATTAATAGATTCTAACAACGGAAATTGCTACATTTTCGGGATTGTAAATTACATATATTAATTAATATAAAAAAGAACGATTTAAAACTGCATTGAATGGCCACGAATCAAAGTCAATATGTAGCAATACTAAAGCAAATTTAAATATGATATTTTATGAAAGTACAAATATTCTGTACAAAATAGTCACAGTAATCGTTTCTTACCACGATTTTGTACCTCAATATAGTTTTCCCGCAAAATTTTCCCGCGAAAAATTTTCCCGTCTGGTTATAGTCAGAGTATACTTTCTAGAGCATTCGAAAATTAAAGAAATATTTATTCGTGACTCGTGTAGCATGGTCAGCAGATAAATATCACGGTGCATATGTATTTAATATGCCAAAATTACAACATGAAAAACATGCCAACGTGTTTGTTTATAGAACTGTGGTTCTGCATTGGTGCAGGAACACCTGCTTAAAACAGCTGGAAAAGGCTGAAAAGGTTTAGGGGAAACCCATGAAGTAATGAAATTTTGATTTGTTTACAGTAATTTGCAGTTCGAGACGTCGCTGCGCTCTCGCTGTATCTTTTTCACCGACTTTGCAGTGTTCAACAGTTTCAAAACTGTGTTCCGTGACCGCCTTTCCTGTTTGTCTTTTTTAATTTCTTTGAGATCAATATGTTTCTCAAATTATTGTGTCAACTAATTTGGACCAGTTTTACAAATTTCCATTCGTAGCATTTGCGTGCAGTATTTGAAAGAAAAATAATAAAAGTTAAAACTATTAAATCATCAAGTGGTATTTCAACCTCTTGCTTATAATCTAGGAAGTAATTGTAAATAGTTACGTAACACTGTTTATATTAAATCATTCCCTACATTTGGTGTTAAACTTCTGCTTATTTTTAACTGTCATAAATTAACTGAAATTCCCCTATCTTCACAAAATATAATTCCATTGAACCATAATGGTTAATAGGAATATAGATTGAACATACCCAAACGTTTTCTTTCATTAGCTCGCACGCTCAAGTGAGTGGGCGGATTTAAACAAAGTTTCAATCTAAAATCTATTAAAACAGATATTGCGTTGACATGTATTTCTATAAATCAACGGCAGTTACCAATTTGGTCTCTTTTACCTATTTAATACATTAATAGATTTGCTATGTTTAATTAATACATGTTTATCTCAATCTGTGGGTTTAATGACTTTGCACACATGACACATCAATTTTATGTATGTACCTGATCAGTATGGGGTCAAAAAATACAGACTATAATTAAGATGTATGGCATACGTGTATGAGTGGGCAATTGTTTATCGCAATTTTGCACACAATAGGTCTTTGAGAATAAAAAGCTTTTTTCCATGACAATGGCTCAGTCCTTTTTTCATAGCCTTGGTAACATAACAGAGAGCTGAGAGATACTGAAATATTTGCACTCGAGAACTGAAATATTTCATACAATTTTGTACTGCAGTACAGAACTGTGTACATTAAAACTCCAGACACCCACATTCGTCGGATCATCTTGCAGCCCACGTTTCACAAGACACTAAAGTCAATCACTGCAAAACAATAGAGAAATTTCTATTAATAGAGAGGTTCGGATTTCACTTCCATTATCGCTACACTACCTCTCATTGACTTGGTACCCATCTGATTGGTTAATCAGATAATATATCAAACGCATCTGATTGGTTAATTATCCCATTGTGGAAGTCAAATCTGGACCTCTCTATTAATTATGGCTATGTTAGTTCCATTGAACAAGATGCCCAAAAGTCTTGATGATTGTTTCATACTCTGTTCACAATTTCAGAGCTTGTCGACTGAAGAAAAAGCAACAACATGAAGCCAATAAAGTCAAATTACATGGCCTCCAAAGTGAACAAGGTTTGTTTAGTCAAATGTATTGTACGGTAATTATTGCTAGATTGACATGAACTTAAATTAAGTAAACCTGATTACAAGGGTAAGTTTTTGCAAGTTTTAATCCATTTAAGCTGCAATGCACCCAAATGTGCCCTACTTTGTTGTTTACTCTGTCTAACACCAGAGGATTTTATTTGTCAGCGATCAAGGGGAGAGTCTTGCCCATTAATGGGTTAACCATTCAACTAATGTAATTATGTAATAATTATATTATGTTAATTTATATGGTTATATCAAGTCAAGCCCATATTATGCAACTTGTAACACAATATTACATTGTGCTGCAACCTGGGATTGCCCTGGATTGGGAAACTTGGCCTTTCTTATATTGTATGTCTTTCTTTCCTTATAGAAAATCTGTTGTTCATAATCAAGGACATGAAAAGTGAAATTGTAAATCGGGCACAATATCCAAGAAAGCCTGGCACTCAATTGAATGAAAAGTTCAAAAATATGGCCAAAAAAGCTTTTGGTTAGTATCTTATGCATGTATTATTTAAATTGGAATTAGTTTTTTCTATCATAACACTGGTGAAGATTATTCCACTATCCAAACAAAAAGGTTATGAAATTACTTTTAATAATGTTTCAAAAGAGTATGGCACAGAGGTTTTACACATTCTGGTACAGATGTCAAGGTTACTAATGGAATTTGTTTTAGGTAGTTTCAACTATACTACACCAACAAAAATCCACACATACTGACAAACTATTTCTTAATCTTAGCTCAACAGATTGCTGGCCACACAACAGAATTTATAAGAGAAGTACTTCAAGAGGTTGCCAGGGGCAATAAAACTGGTGGACTAACATTACTTTAAGCCTCAGGAAACTTAAAGGTGTTACACTGCGCATAGTAATGACAACAGAAACTTGTGTGCAATGTGCAATTCTGGCTGTAACACACGGCTCATGTGAGTCATTACCCTTTAATGACGAGCTCTTAATTGCACCAGTATTTTAAAGATCCCTCTAAAGGCCTTGCAATTTTTGCTCCAATTTCTAGTGGGACTTTCCTCTGATGCATGTGAATGAGTAGATGAGTTATGAATGTTCTGAGTTATAGATGTTCTGAACATTCATACCTCATCCACACAGAAGATGAAAATCACACCTAAAATCACTGTCAGCAAAATGGGCCAAAAAGAAATGAATGCAGGAGCCAAGTGGCCCAACAGGAGATTTCCTGGTGGCTCCCAATTAAAACATCTGAACAAGAAAATAAACTTATAGAGTGGGCCTTTTAAGGTGTTATTTTCCCAGAACCTTTTAGAAGGCCACACTGCCCATAACCAGGAGAGCAGCAACGATTGGTATCTATGCACGTTTTTTCTCAGTAGCTACCAATTATGCCCTCCTAGTTATAACTGATTTCTTAAACCGGGGAACTTGCACATGTGTTCAAGCAATATTAGTTAATGGTATAATTCAACTTAAACATGTAATATAGAATAGAAATTGGGATTATGGTGTGTGGGCATGTAAGTAGTCTAAATATGTCATAACTAGTAACTAGTTCAGATTACATTTCCAAAGGAAATACATATAATTATGCAAAAGCTATTATTAATTAAGACAGTACATATAGTATAAGTAATTGTGATTAATTCACATAATGTATAACACTAATGGTAGTTTATATTATAGTATAACATTGCACTTTCGATATGAATAGACAATGATAATCAATTGTCAAAAATGTTGGATGCAAACATCATACAAGCTGTTTTGGGTTAAGCAGATTTCAAGATTTATTCGCAATGCTTGTTCCATGGCAACATGTCACAAATTTGGAACAATGTGTGTATACCTATGGTTTATACATATTCCCACATGACAAGTTTCTAACTGGATTTGAAGAATTCAAAAATCTGAGCAATAACATTGAATTGTTCTGATAAAGGTTTGGTACATTTGGTTAATCTATATATCAATAATATGCTTTAGCATAGCTTCTTATATACTATGTAGTAATCTGTGTGTATATTGTACAATAATGTATATAATAATTATGTATGTGATAACATGTAAAGAACACTATAGATTGTATTTGGCTGCAGGCTTCAGTTTCCAAAAATATCAAAAATTTTTGTAACGACGTAATGGGGATATACTGGTTATAAACTCATGTAAAATGGTCGGTGTGTAATTTTTTAAAATTAAATGGCCATTGTTAAAGAGTGAATATGCCAATTATTTTGTTGTTTTTCATAATTTAGCTGATAGCATGGCAGTATTTTTGGCTTTGCAAAGAAATCATTGACTTATACCAAACACCACGGCGAAAAGCATTTAAAGCATAATCTCAACGTCGTAGGATGATGACATCATCACTCCAGTATATAAGGAGTCCACAGCGCTCTCCTCTTGACGAGTAACATAGATAGTTCGTCATGACAGGTGATCCACCTGTTTGCGCGGTTTATATAGACGATTTGCGCGGTTTATATAGACGATTTGCGCGGTTTATATAGACGATTTGCGCGGTTTATATAGACGATTACGCGGTTTATATAGACGATTGTGTGGTTTATATAGACGATTGCGCGGTTTATATAGACAAGTCTCTGTCACTTTGCCCGAGTTTGTTCATCAGACCATGGTAATGGTAATCATATACCATAATAGACGCTAAAGTGAACAAACCTTACACGGCCTTGTCTCGTACGTATTCCTCCGCCATTTTCTTAACACTTTCAACCGTACTTTCGTCTCCATGTTTCTTTTCAAATTCAAGATATTTTTTAAAAATAAATTTCATCTTCTTTGAGGATAACTTGCACGCCAGAGCTTTGTCAAAAAGACGTCTAAAAGTGGGAAAGAAATGTTAAAAAAAGATGTAAGCGCGTATTCAAACTCTGAACTACATGAAAAAGATTTATAAGAAGTCCTCTCGACCGCAGTTTAGTGGTGAGCGAATTTCCGCGCGAAGCAAAAAGAGAAGCAATCTGATTGGTTAGCGACAGAATTAAAGCGAAAAAATGTTGAAATCGGTTTCAGCCATCCCCGTTCCCAACCTCGTCCCCAGGACACAGAATAAGTCACACAGAAGGTCGACTTCTTTGTTTTTCCTATGATTTTGGCGTAACCGTAATTCGCCATCAAAATGCTGACGCCATGGTCGCAGCCAGTGCGCGTGGTAGGACTGGTAGCGGTTACTCGAGTCGACCTTCTGTGTACCTTATTCTGTGCACAGATCTCATGAAGACCCTGGGAACGAATTTGCCTCGTTCCCAGGTTTTTGCCACACATTTTGTCGTCAATCAATCACGTTGCTTCTGCAGGTAGTAAGACACAAACCATAGCATCTTCTTGCAGAAACTGCCGACAATGGACCCCAAAAATTTAATGAGAAAAAACAGGCAACCGATTCGAGTGGACTTTATGCCGAGGTAGTGAGATAAACTATAAAAACTATTTCTTAACTAGTAAACAATTCTACCTCGCAGCCGCCAAATCTTCATTCTTTGCTAAAACATCAACATACATGGACCAAATATCCGTTCTTTTTGGATAACTTATTAAAACATTGTCCAGTAATGTTTTGCCTCGTTCTGGTTCACCGTGTTTGAACTCTAGCATTGCAAATCTGCTTATTGTCTCGATATCTGCAAGTGAATAAATAATTTTTTTGTTAATATCTTACAATACAATAATTTCTCTTTCCGTTTTCGTCCAAAGTTGACCAAAATTGAACCCGACTACAGTAGGGTAGTCTAAAGCTGGTTACAATAACAATACTACAATACAAAGAGCGTCTGATCAATAATAAACAATAAATGTCATAAGCTCTTTTGGGGCTAGCTTACGTTTTCGTTTTTCCAAACTTTTGAAACTTCGCTGAAGTAAATTCCTGGCAGAGTCCAGCTCTCCACGTTCCATTAGGTAAGTAGCATAATCAATCCACACTTTCTTACTGGATTTAAAGCGTTTGATCATCGTCTGGTGTAACTGTTCAGCTTGCTAGAAGCGAAGAAATTGCATATTTACACCAGGCATAAGGCAATTTAGCTATTAGTTTTTCTATTACTCTCCCCCAGAGCATAATCTAAAATTCCGTCCATGAAATATACAATAAAGTTATCTACAGTTATTTCAATAGCATATATATTAAATTCAAAGTAAAGTATAAATTATAGTATAATTTTCAAAGTAGTATATACTTGCCTCAAATTTATTTGAGCCAACGTAAATATTAACCAATTGTTTAAATACTTGCTTGGGCTCATTCTGTTCCAAGGCTCTCTGAAAAACTTTCACTAGAGAATCCTGGGTACCGTACGAGTTCTCCAAGTTCAAGAACGCAATCCAAACATTGAATTTCTCTGACTCCTCTCTAAAAGACATTAAAAGAAAGTTAAGCCACATTCCAGTTAAATAATAAACCTAGTGATGAATTCTCGTGTGTTCAATAGTGGCCACTTTGCACTAGATTTTACTTACTATATCAAAAGTTTACTGACAGCCGCACCCCACAATAGAATCAAGGATACCTTAATATCTCATTTCAAACCATTTTCGGCCCAAATGTGGCCATGGTTGGCAATTTCCGCACGCAATACAAAAGTATACAAAATTTGCGAACTTTGCAAGGCTATGTTTTCCGCATTTTACAACATTTCGCGACCAAATCTTGCATTTTACTCATTTTAGTACGTTCTTTCTAGCTGTGGTGATTTAAAATTAGTCTGTAATGGGAATTGTCTATTACCTAAATGATATAGATTTGAGTGCCCGTTCAGCGACGGCTCTTGCTTTGTCTATTTCAGTCAAATGAAGGTAATACGCCATGTATTGTAGCCATAGCAACGAATCATTTGGAGTTGAGAGAAGAATGCGATCAAAGTCTTCAGCGGTTTGTGGACCTTGGTCTTTATTAAGAAGAGCTTGTTCGGTCTAGAGAAATGATGTGAAACTCAATTAACTAATACAGATAATTTATCCGCAAACATTACCAATAAGTATGGAGTTTTTTGAACTGTAAAGAAGACAAGAGTTTATGCAGTGAGGGTTTCCCATGGGTTTCTAGGAAACAAGGGAACAATGAAACATGTAAGCTTGGAGAACAGTGGTCAGTGGAACATGGGGAAATCTTTATGGAAAACAAGGGAACAAAGAGAAAATTTCCGAGAAACACGCGAACACATAAATGTGTAAACGTTTTCAAACCTTGTATAAGAACTCTTCTTCCGCTTTTTTGGCAGCTCTTTTTGCTCGTTTTGACTTCTTTCTCGCAACCTGTGAAAAAAAGACAATATTATTGAAACCATACCTTGTACACTACGACAGCGACATTTTTGCACATGAAGTCACAACGACTATTAAATATATGAAATCCACCATTTTATTGCTTATTTGGTCGAGCATCGTCCTATGAAGGACGATATTGTAGATTCAACCTCCCTCCTAGCTCCCCCCTCCACCTTGTCCCCACCGTTGTGTAAACGAAATAATTTATTCAGTTATTTGACCTGAGTATTTTCTTCGTCTCCGCTCGTGTCATCGTCGGTATTTGCCGTTCTATCTTCGGCTTGTCCTCCATCACCGTCGTTCTCCACAGAGTGCCAGTTAAACCCTCCAGGAATCTAGGAGCGAAACTTACTTCTATTATACAGTGTTTAAATGTGTAAAAATTACAAATGTATAAATGAAAAAAATCCATGTATAAATGTATAAAAGTTCCACTCGAACCATCATGACGACTTAAATTAGTAAAAAATACATAAGTAAGCAAAACCTTTAATGTTGGCTTTTCTTCTACATTATCATCTTCCTATTGTTCAAAGAAATACTAGATTAGTATACACCTGTATGTACATATCCATACATTACAGCCTTCCTTGGCCCATGCATTGTAAAATAACTGGATAGGAAACTTCCTGACGTCATCACTCATCCTTGTTGAAAAACGTGACGTCACGCGTATTGCGAATATTACCAAAGTTCTCGGCATTTTTGTTGTTTTGCTATATTTTCCACTTTAAAAAGGGTGATATTGAAGCATAAACTGGTCTAATTGTTTTAAAAACATGCCTAAGCCACGACAAAGTATTCAAGGTAAATGTTTTTCGTCTTTGTTTTGTATTTTTTTACATTTATAGCTACGAAATTGGCGTCACAAATTTTAACGAAATTTGCGATGTATTTTTCACTGTTTAGTGCTTGAAATATTTGCTAAAATTGACTGGGAATACTTAGAGTTTTCATCGTAGAATGGCGTGGTAATATTTACTTGCTCTTTGACTAAAATGTTTAGCTGTATTATTGCTAAACATGCCGTTTTTGAGAATTGGTTTGCAACTAGGTTTGGACATCCAACCACGCCATCAGCCCATTGAAAACATTAGGTCATGTCAGCTAGTTTCCTATTCATTTATTTTATTATCCTTGCTTGGCCATAGATAATCTGAAAGAGGTTTACATAAATACGTCAAAAGTAAGAAGATAGAAGTCTCTAAAGCCAAGACTTTTGTGAGTCTTTATAGCCAACGTGACATACTACTTCCCAGGGTATTGTCCATATCAGTAAGGCCTGTTTCAAACGTCGCGCTTCTCATGTGCCGAATGCATTAGAAACAATAAATAATGAGGCAGTTCAGCTGATTATCTATTGTTTTTAATGCGTTCGGCACATGAGAAGCGCGACGTTTGAAACAGGCCTTATTAATACTAACTAAAATAGGAAAATAGACAAACCTCGGTATCGTTATCTTCTGAAGGATCATTGGAGGACTTCTTTTCGGCCAAAGTTTCGTCAATACTTTGCTCGTCATCTTCATCATCATCTCCTTGATCGAACAAGTAAAAAAATACAAGGGGGACTGATGAATTTACCGGATAGTGAATTTTTCAAGCTTTCTAAAAAGGACAGTTGATCATTATAATCCAGATTACAGTTTAGCAGTTACCAATTAATGTCTTTAGTTTCACCGTTTTTCAGGCATAGACTTAAAAATTAATATATGGTGGATATAGCACTATCCAGCGGTTCCAGCCTTCATACAACCTAAAGTTAAACAAACCTTTTCGAAGCTTCTTTAAAATTTTCTCTCCTTCATCCTCGCTCTCAGAATGGCGGCCATCATCATCCTCACCATGTTGTCGTTTACCATTTGTTAATTTCTTCTTCTCGCGTCTCTCGGGTTTGGGAGCAGGATCCTTGTCTCCTACATCCTTGCCTTTCAGAGAAAGCTCGATCTGGTTGTTGTTCGGGTCGATACTACGAAAGAAACAATATAGAAATACAAACGCTATAACTATTGCCTAACATGGTTGCCGTGTGTAGATCCAACAAACAAACATAAATCCCTATAGAGGAGTTCGGGGACATGATCCCCCGGAGAAATTTAGAATTTCTAAGGTCTCTAGAACAGAACATAATTCAGGGATGGATTTACTGGGGAGGAGTGCGGGGTGCGCACCCCCCCCCCTCCCTAGCCCTGGCCAGAGGTGGCGCAGGGGGGGGGGTGCTATTTTCATGATAAAGAAAAAAAAGACAAAATGAGATACAGTAATTTGAGTAATAACATGAGGATAAGTGAACTGTGAACAACAATTACAATTCAAATACAGTAGTTGATGGGCGGGCGGCACAAATGACCGACACAACTCGGCAGTCGGCACCAGAGTACCCCACCAGATCATGCTGGATCCATCCCTGACATAATTTACCTTAAAACTTTTCCTTTCACAAGTTTTCCAAGAGGAAAAAGTGGTTTCCAATTCTTCACAAAATAATGCGATAGATTTTTTATTTGTACTCGCGCAACAATACTCCTTGAAAGACTATATAAAACCAAATATAATAGTGTATACTTGAGGAATTGCAGGATCAAACTACCATGTGAATCCTGCGCACATGTGCCAACCGAATTTCAGGCTGGATGCCTGTTGGACCATATACGATATTGTAAATATAATCTACCTGACAAAAACTCCAACATCGGTAACAGCCTTGACGTAGCCTCTCACAATGTTCCCCTCTTCAATGTCATTAAAACTCTGAATATCTTTGTCAGATTTCTCTGCAAGTGGGTAAGAAAAAACGAATTGTAATGGAACCATCCGATTAGTAGGCTTCAGTAAGTGCTACGAAACAATATTTTCCTTGCAATACGAGACTACTGTATATAATCAGTTGTCATCTACTGCATGATAACGAGAATTTTCGTGAGAGTTTTCTCAACTCCCGGGCAAACGATGACAAGAGTTACATGAATCAGAGTCGATGAGAGTTGACTGGATATCACTGCGCGTGTACTGGAAACCCTCATCAACTCTCATCCGCGTTTCACTGGGGCTTTAGTGAAACCCAACTACCGCACGCTGGGTAGTACAATAGCAAGGCAGCATCTATATATATGATGGCACAAAGATATGGCAAAGAGGTTTATTTTGGTAGCAAGGGAATGCTTTACCGACCTTCGCTAGTAACTCCTTCAGTCTTTGAAGCTCTGGTTGAGAGATCAGTGTGCCCATTATCGTTCACAGCCAGAACATAACAACTATAAATCAATAAATACGTGAATAAGAACTATCACAAGCTTATCAGCATCCTCTTGAAAATGTTGGACCATAATAGCAGGAAATGATATTTTTTGTTTCTTGGATCCTAAGTTTTGGGGTCAAAGTTTTCTACCAAGCTCACTGGTTAAAACGGATGTATTCCTTCCCAATCCTGGCTATAAAGTATGCCAATTTCGGTGTAATTTAAAACCATGGCAATGATCTTTACAGAAATGAATACCGACCTGACAACTTGATTCACTTGGTAGTCTTCTGCTGGGTTTTCCTTAAAGTCATCGCGGATATCTGTTAGAAACACTGTACCGTGTTTCTTGTGGGGTAACTGGACAGCGAGACCTTTACGAGGTAACATTTTTGTGATTTTCCCCGGGACAATGTTGCCTTTCGTAATCTCGCAATCTAAATACAGTTAAATAAATAAAGAAAACTCAAACGTAACGGCTAATTATAAACAATCCATCTCGTCATAAGGCTTTTCCAATTGGATATTAATGGATATTATTATTATGGTTATTATTATTATTATTATTATTATTATTACATATAATAGAACTTATTTTTTGTATACTTTGGGAATTAAAAGATTGTAACATTAATGTTGGGCTGCTCATGCATGTGAAATTAACGTGCCTGACATGGAAAGATCAAGAGATTTCTGTTCTTGGTTGACTTTCAACACAGTACACTGATGACCTGAACCAACTTTGAAGTGACTCGACATATCTTTTAATACCTTGAATTCAAAAGGAATAAATACGTGTGCAACTAATGAGTTTATCAAAGACGTGGTTAGATAATTAAACAACAACAGGGCTCATCATCTAGGTGAATAAGGTTGTCCTTTGCAAACCTTAAACTCTAAGAGCGCAAAGCTTAATTAAGGTTTAAGGTTTAGAGATGATGAAGGTTTGCAAAGGACAACCTTTTTTGAATTAGCTGTAGTCGCAGAGGTTACGGCGAAGTCATTGTCACAGATGTGAAATAGCCTGGATCTATTTTACCTTTAAAGACTGATCTGTATACCGTACATTATGCAAATCAGTCTTTATTGATTACGGAGATTTCACGACACAATTTTACACTGGCCATCTTTACATATATCTTCGAGACCGTCATGGCCAAATTGAATGCAGCCCTGTCAGTATCAGGGATATTTGTTTTTTGCATGACAACCGGCATATGCAGTGATTTAAAGCAAGATTTCTGTACCTCTATATCTGTAGAGACGTCAACAAGAGTCACTCTGCCATTAAGAGATGTTGATACCACCATCCATATATCATAGTCACGAACCTACATACAGAAAAAGAATGTTTTTGGTCGTTGTAAATTGGATAGCACTGGGATTGTATACAAGAGAACTTACTGTTTTGACAAAACAGAAAATTTTCTCTCCTTCCTTATAATCTTCCAGTTTCTTCTCAAACGATTTTCTCTCGTTATTGTTATCGTCCTCATCTTCACGCAGCCGACTGCAAAGAAAACAGAAATAAATATCCCATTAATCTTCTGGGATATTACTATTAAATTAAAATGTCCAGTCAAAAGTATGTTTACATATTACTTAGTGGGATGTGGGCGGCACAATGTGCAGTTAACTCATCTGCATTTTGAATCCTTTGTGACCGCATCGGTCTCCTCCTGTAGTAACATTGGACCAATAAAGCCCGACCTTTACTAGACCTATAGGGAGGACAATTTAGAACAATTCAAAACCACTTTAGTTTAGGTTACCAAGAAAATTTTACCTTGGTCTTGCAGATAATTCAGCATAGGCCTTTGCAAAATTACGATGCGTGATTGGCAGAAAACTAGAAAAAAATACAGGAATGTAAGCAAAGCACTACATAAATATTTCCACACACATTAACAGACACTATCATCATCCTGATATCTTTTCAAGGATCATCAGCCCTCCATATCGTAACCAGTGATTGTCCACGATTTAAGATCCTTATTGATGGTATATTATTTAAATCTTTCTTCACAAAATCTATCCACCGAAGAAAACGTCGTAGAATATAATAAATTTTTACTTGTGTTTTACTGAATCTCGAAATCCCAGGACCTTTACTTGTATTTTCTCACCGCGAGAGTACACAGCCAGTGGGTTGTCCCCCTGAAAAACATAAAAAAATAAATATTAAACATCTAGAAAAGACGTAGCTCAAGAGCCAGAGGCAATATGCCCCAGTCCTTGATACTGGGCAGCTCTGTCGCAAATGGTGAAACGACAGGGTACCACCTTAACTTAAAAACAAAACACTACTTCATGTAATATTTACCTCAGTTACATCATCGGATATCTCTGTGATACAAACTCTGCCTTTGTATTTCTTTCCACAAAACTGTACATTTATCTGTACACCTTTGATGGAAGTGATCCTTAAAAAATACATGGTTGGTTTAGGCGCAGGCTACATGGGGGTCTTCTGGGGTCTGGGCCTGTGGAGAAATTAAGGAATGTAAACCGGTGGAACCGGGGGTGGGGTGTTGACTCTGGAGGCTTTGGTTGGGTAGTGTATGTGGCTTTCACCGTTTGGTTTTGATTCCTGCAATATGCAATATTTGCAGTGATTTTCAGTTATTATAATTTCGCCTCCAACCTACCAAGTTTTTTAATTGCTTTCGACGACAACAAGTTCAGTTACGATACTTACAAAGCGTTGAGAATAGCTCCTGGTTTGACGTTCTCTGTACTTTCTTCATTGACATCCACAGATAGGATCAAATATTCACGTTTGTCTAATTTTGAGCGTACATATCTATAAATAACATAAAATGCGGCAGGTTAAAACCAACACCTACGCACGTAATCCCTAGCATTTCCTACGCCATGCGACCAGGCCTTAGCTGCCATTTTTGGGTGGCAAACTGCACGAGGAAAGTAGACGGCAACGTGAGGAGTGAAATGAGACACATTTAATATTTGTATTCTCTTTTACATACGTTTATTTCTAATATCAACTGCACGCTACAAATACTAATACTAATGATTCCATGTGCTCTCATGTCACATGACTATATCTGTCACTCAAGTCTATGACATCACTACAACACAGTAGTAATGTTTTTAAGCGCTATTGCAGTTAGTTCGTCTGGATAATTTGTCTTGTGTTTATACAGCCTTGCAAAGTTTGCCGTTTTTCAGTCATTTTGTATTACAAACGGGAAATTGACATCCGATTCGGGTGTTGGGGACGCAATTTCCCGTTTGTAATGCAAAATGACTGAAAATTGCAAACTTTGCAAGGCTCTATTTTCCTCATTTTACAACATTTCGCAACGAAACTTTGGAATATTACTAATTTTGTGATGCTCTTTCAAGCTGTGATGAAATATTTGTCTAGACTTGCCTAGATCAAAATTTTGGTTATAAGGGGAAAGGTCTATTGGACCAGTTATTACATCACAATAAGGTAGGTAGCTCACATCATATGAATCTTTATATGCTGCATGGCATGCATGGACACGAGTCTCTATCACTTACTTCTGAACAGTGGCCTCGCAGGTTTGGCCAATTTTAAAGCGACTGGTAGGATCCCGAACATCGTTTAAAGTCTGATGAACAAAATACACGCAGATTATTCCAACGGACAAGTGAAAATCAAAGAGCTGTTCAAAATAATGTCTTCCTACCTCTTTGACTGGAACATAGGCAAGTCGTAGTCCATGGCTGGGTAAAATTACCACCAAGTATTCCCTGTGAATGGTCTGTACGACCGCTGACACAACCTCGCCGATATTCAACTGCAAAAGTGTAGTTACAGTAGTTGGTCACAAGAAATGTTGCAGCATGCAAAATGGCAGATACTAGGGGCGATGGGGATTGGGAGCAACCGCCAAATGATTGCTGATATTACTTGAGAGATTACAGGGCCTGATTTTTTGCTAATTCCCAAGCTTAGAGATTTGCAGCACTGAAGAAAAGGGCGGTAAAATTTTGGCAACCGAGGAACGTGGGGAACACTACATTTTGTTTAATTTTTCCACGTTTAATCCCGATTCATTACCTTCTTTTTGTTCTTAGACTTGATTTCCTTGCGTTTCCTGACAAGGTTTGAGTCAACCGTCAAATCAAGCCTCTTATTCACAAGATCGTAATCTAAGACAAACGTATTCAACACTTCGTCAACAGCAACGTTGGCACCTTGAGAAACGAAACGAAACCAAATGATAGACATGTCCCGCTAGATGAGTTTGTAGATGAGTTTTGTAGATGAGTTTGTAGATGAGTTTTGTAGATGAGTTGTGTAGATGAGTTGTGTAGATGAGTTGTGTAGATGAGTTGTGTAGATGAGTTTGTAGATGAGTTGTGTAGATGAGTTGTGTAGATGAGTTGTGTAGATGAGTTGTGTAGATGAGTTGTGTAGATGAGTTGTGTAGATGAGTTTGTAGATGAGTTGTGTAGATGAGTTGTGTAGATGAGTTGTGTAGATGAGTTTGTAGATGAGTTGTGTAGATGAGTTTGTAGATGAGTTTTGTAGATGAGTTGTGTAGATGAGTTTGTAGATGAGTTTGTAGATGAGTTGTGTAGATGAGTTGTGTAGATGAGTTTGTAGATGAGTTGTGTAGATGAGTTGTGTAGATGAGTTTGTAGATGAGTTTTGTAGATGTGCATGTCAATCTCGAGTGGAATTTTATTAAACCTAACCAGGAGCAGTTACGAAAAATGCAACTATACGCCCTCTGACAGGAATCGAACCTGCAGGTTGTGTAGATGAGTTGTGTAGATGAGTTGTGTAGATGAGTTTGTAGATGAGTTGTGTAGATGAGTTGTGTAGATGAGTTGTGTAGATGAGTTTGTAGATGAGTTGTGTAGATGAGTTTGTAGATGAGTTTGTAGATGAGTTGTGTAGATGAGTTTGTAGATGAGTTTTGTAGATGTACATGTCAATCTCGAGTGGAATTTTATTAAACCTAACCAGGAGCAGTTACGAAAAATGCAACTATACGCCCTCTGACAGGAATCGAACCTGCAGCCCTAAAATTCAGAGTCGAAATTTTTTTCTAGTACAGTATTAGTTATATCGAGTTCAGATGCCCCAAATCCTGATGTATATCCCGAATTTGCTTGAGTGTACACGAGACGACGATTCAAGGTTGAAGCAAACAATGACAACTATAACTAAAATTGGACTTCAATAATTTGGATTCTTGGACTTCACTTGGTGGAATTAATATTAGAATGTTAGGGTTTGTAATCCAAGTGAGAATACATACATTTTAAGACCTAACCAGGAACGACTGCGAAAAATGCAGCACAAGGTCCTCTGGTAGGAATTGAACCTACGGCCCTGCACCGAAATCGCAGGGCCGTAGGTTCAATTCCTACCAGAGGACCTTGTGCTGCATTTTTCTCAGTCGTTCCTGGTTAGGTCTTAAAATGTATGTATTCTCACTTGGATTACAAACCCTAACATTCTAATATAACTAAAATTATCGTGGTCAATGTTTATTAATATATTAATATTATAATATTAACATTCGTGGTCAATGTTTCGTGTGCATTCGAGTAAATTTGGAAAGTGTTCACTCTCTTTTTTAGAAAACACCACAAATCACCACATATACATTCACTTCACAAGGCTTTCGATAAATATTATTATTACACAATTATACTTTGTTTGTATAAAAGCCATGTATTACCTAGCTCTCAATATATAGATATATAATAATATATCTAGTAAGTATTTTTACCTTTAGTCAACTGTGGCGGTGCAAATCCCTCGATCCCATTTTCAAGAAGAAACGTTACACCAGAATTTTTAATCGCTGAAACCTAACAGGCAAAAAAATGCATCAAATAGCAGTGCATGGCTCTTGTGTACTGGCGGGTTTTACTGTTGTAGCACTAACGTGCAGCGGATGGTGGCCAACAGGCAGTTATTAGAGAAGTTCAAATTTGACTTGTACCTTTCACTGGCCTAGGACGCATCTGATTGGTTAATCAGATAGCACAAATGCATCTGATTGGTTTATGGTCCCTTAATGGTAGCGGTAGTCAAATCTGAACCTCGGCCGATTGCTTGATAATCGGCAAATAATCGGCCAGAAGACTTTTTCTGCAGCTGCCAAGCACATGCTAAAATACTGAATACAAGCGAATAGATTTTCACATTTTGTTGCAAAACCTGTGTCTTTTGTCTCGAGCGAAGTGAAGCTGGGAACATTTCCACTGAAAACACAGCAAACTAGCTCCGCATATGGACTATTGACATGCAAGATTGAAGCTGTTTTCAATTGTACATAATGTGTATTGTAAACAATAAAACCGCATTTACAACTTCATTGTTGGTCATCTTGTGATTTTTTCGCTTGCTTTTCAAAATAATCGGCGGGTACCGATTAATCGGCCGATTAGTTACGATAATCGGCTTATAATATAATCGGCCTCAGTAATCGGCAATTTTCCTTATCGGCTCATCCCTACTCTGTTAGAGTAAGAATATAATGTTGATTGTCTTCATTTTAATGTACTAATACTGCACTTGGTGGAACATAAAGAAAATATGTAGTTTAATTTGTTTACATCCAGACGTTACCCGAAAACGTTCATGAATTGGCTGGCATCGGGGAATGATTCAATTATGCGAAACATACCTTGCCTGGCACAATGGAACCTAGTAAAACGTCAATGAAGGTACTTGTATCTTCTGAAATAAGATAAAAATAATTAAAATTATTTCCAAGAAATAACTAATTATGGCTCATTTAAAACAAGCCTAGTGTCCTCTTATTTCAGGTTGTAGGAAGCCGATCGGATAGCGCTATCCATGGTAAATCCACCGGATCGTGACTTTTTTCAACCAAATGTGTGAAACTATGCATATGGAGCCCGAAATATAATTCAATAACAAATATCAAGTTTTAATTATATTAACTATTAATGGCTAATTTAAGAAAGCTTGACATAACGGCCCCAGGTAGAGAAACTACTGAACTTGGGGAAAATTCAACTCACTTGATCTCATACGCAAACTTTCTAATATTTCATCCCGTTCTTTAATAAAGTCAACAAGTAAATCAACACTACGCTTGTCTCTTTTCTCCTTTGACTCATCCGATTGGTCAGGATAACAGTCACATGATTTCAAGCTGACCAATAACCGACGACGCTCACGATCTATCTCGGTTATCTGTGAAAGAGGAATTGAGCAAGTTGGTCAATGATCTACGATATTAGCCAGTGGTTTACCAGCTCAGAATTTTATACTAAGTTTTGAATATTTTAACAAGATAATATCTACCTACTAGGGAGGGGGGACCTGTTTTGGAGCATACCTTAGCCATAACTGATTGTCCGACTTCAAAATGCTGTGCAGCATCAGCGATGTAATTATTTGATAGAAGCTGAAGAAGATTGAAAAGGAAAAGTCAGAACTGGTCATAGACAACACATTTCACGTGCATTCTCTGCGAATGCTTTCATCGCATTCTCAGAAAAGATCCTGGGGACGAAGTCGAAACTTCATTGCGCGTATACTTACGGAGTTTGGAGCGAGGCCGTACGTATTTGGTGAGAATTCAACAAACACACCGTATGGCATCAGTTGTCGCGTGAAACCAGGAAGAATCATTCCAACCTTTAAAGAATCAGAAGAAAAACATTGGAAAAGAAAATATGACTAAAATTAACTTACAGTGTTACTGCTATAGTTACTGTTGCAGAAAAAAAAAGGATGTATAGTGTATAGTAACAGTATGTAAAATGCAAGCATGACTTACATTCAAATCATCAAACCGCCTGATTAAGGTGCCTTCTGTAGCTCTCTTTATCAACGACTGTTTGCGTGAAACAATCTTTGCATGGACTTAAGGAATCAACATGAAACCAATACAACAACCTCTAAATCATGTCATGTTGAACATAATAGATCCCAGGTTTTCGTAGTTCTAAGCACGAGGGTCAACCTAAATTCGCCCCCCCCCCCCCCAAACCCCCCACCACCGCAAGTTGGTTTTACAAAGGATACCAATGATTTGTCTTTGTTCCGTCCATAAGACAAGATATTACTCAAAGACGTCAACTCAGAATTTCCCCCAGGATTAGGGGAGAAAACTTCCAGTAGCGCACCACAATTACTGAAGTTGTCTGATAAATGAGCCAGCGGTAAGAAGGCAGGTGTGTTACTTGGTTTAATTTGAACATCCAGTCCCGATTCCGTCCTTCCAACAACATCAACATCAACGAACTATGGAAATAAAAGCCCATTTTCACTAAGCGAATTTGACCGCGCGAAGCCAATCACATTGCCGAAATTTGTATTATAAATACGCCCATGGAATTTTGATGGACATGTGCTAGGGTTTGTCAATCATTCCTGTTTTATAAGGTTTCCATGTTTTCACTGTGTTCCGCGGGAGAATTTATTTAACACCTAGAATATATTTCTTACCGTTCCTGGGGCGAGCGGTTTTGAAGTGGGCGATGATGGCACAGCCGATGACTAAAAAGACAAGAACAGATCATTACATACAATACTGTAATCAATGGAAAAGCACCGCCACCTTGCTAACACTCAAGGCTGGAGTACGTGTCTTGGCATGAAACATGATTGGACTTATCAGGAATGTTGAAGTCGATTGTCTGTATATGCAATTGTGCTCCTTGTTCTACCTCGTAGTTTGAATACCTTTCAGAAACCTGTACTTTATTTTAAATACTAAGTACACATTGTGTATTGAGTTTGTACCAGCGCAAGTACGCGGCAATAATCATTGGCGTACCAGTTAGATACGACCAAAAATCTCGAAGTATCGCATCCTGAATACTTGATGTTCTTGAAATCTTATGAAAACTTATATAAGTATATATAGAGTTGCAGATCTCCTGTGCTTCAGTGCTTTCCTCTTGGTCCTCAAATTAGCGAGATCTTCTAGATTGAGAAAGGTTAAAAATTGCCATAACTTACATTAAAACTTAGAGACAATTTTTGTTTCGCTGGTGAACATGACATAACAACACAGGTGACCACTTGACCAACGTAGAAAGCATTGCTAGGATCTTCACTAGATTTTAAACTGGAGAATTGATATTTAAGCAAAATTAAAATTTTGTAAGGAAACGTATTTGGTAATCAGGTAATAACAGTACAACACCAGGCAGCTACGAATTTACAGCTATATGAATCAAGTCTGACAGACTTGCCAGAACCAAACAAAGAACTTACCCTAGTTCAGCTTTGGGCACAAGGCCATGGATATTATTATAAAAATGAACAATACAGCCGTAGTCTCGTATTGATGTTATGAAACCATGTGTCTTCATTCCTAATTCAACTTTGGAAAGACTAGTAATGATTGGAAACTCGGAGTTGACTAAGGTTTTTTTGTGGGTTAAGCGAAGACGTTTTCTTTCTGCTTCCACTTCGAGAACCTAAGAGATAAATACAAATATTCACGACGTCCTCTAAAGGACTTTTATCAGTAGAAATTGTTAAGTGTCTCATTAATTTATCGCACTCAGATTGATCGGAATGAGCGTCTCTAATGTTATAGCCACCGGCTTCAATAATTCAGACTGCCTTTTTCTGACTAAGACATTTGCGCACAGTAAGGTTAGAGTTTGTGATTGGGATCAAGATCAAAGACAAATTCATTCCTGTGCAAAACATGAGGAAAATAAAGAGGTTCAGATTTTGACTTGACCACTGACTACCGCTACCACTGAATCTACCCGATTAACCAATCAGATGCATTTAAGCTACTCGATTAACCAATCAAATGCATTGAATCTACCCGATTAACCAATCAAATGCATTTAATCTACCCGACTAACCAATCAAATGCGTATTAAGCAAGCGAGAGGTAATGGAAGTCAGTTCTGAACCTCTCTATTACCTTGTTTTGAATCTTCTATTCATTACAACTACAGTTTCTTACTCGACATTTCACATTCTTTCCTTCGTGTAGTTTCTTCTCCGGATGTTTAAGTGTGACGTCAGCATAATGAAGAGATTGACAATATCCCCGGATGTGATCAGACAACGCGACCAACATACCAGACTTTAACAAACTTTGGATTTTTCCCTGAATATCATGAATAAAGCAGTAAGTTCAGCATGAACTCTTGCATTCGCTATAGTGGATTTATGAAGAAGTATTCTTACACTGACAACAACTCCAGGTTTAATATCTTGATATCTGATGAACGGTTGCTCAAGGACAGATCTGTGTGGGATAAACAAGCAGATGTAGCGAATTATTATTTATTTAAAAGAATTCATGGTTGTGATTGGCTAAATCGTTATATCAGTTTTGACATAATATGTGACGTCATAAGTTGCCATGATTAATATTAAACTTACTTTTCCAATGTAACCAATGCCAAACCAATCATGGAGTTCAAACCAAGGATTCGACAACTAAAGGAGTGGAAAATACACATTAAGCGTTTGCTTTGGAACGTGATAACAACTAAAAGAATACTGCAGTAAGAAGGAACGAACCATTAGAAAAGTGAGGGTTTGGGGAAAAAAACAAAAGAAATTCGCGCGAGATAAAAGGAAGAAAAAAATCATGCAGAGATGAAGATAAAAAGGTCTTTAAAATTCCCCAATTTTGACAAGCAGACGTGCAGGTCAAGCAATTATTTACAAGCAATTTCTGCAAACTGAAAATTCCCCACTCTCCCATCACATTTCTAACGGTCCGTCCCTAACATGATGCAACAACCTGTGTTTAGTTCCAGCCTTGAAATGTTTGTCAATCTTCGTCACTTTTTCGTCTGACAACCGAGAGATCTGCAAAAATGAGCCACATTACTGATGAAGGAGATATGCTCGAAACAAGTGTTTTTCAGTGGCGGACACTAAGCCACTAGCGGGAGTGTGGCAACCGCCCCCCCACCCCCCCTCACTCCCCAACAATTTTTTAAGCATTTGAATGGTAGCTGAATAACTGTGTAACAAAGTTGTAACAATAACTTTTCAACCATGAAAGCATTGATAGGCTAATAATTGTGTGAAATTTAGAGAAAAACTATAAAAGATGATCATATGTTGGCAACTGTCCAATATTTCACGAAGTGTTCACCAGTGTTTTTACCAATGCTTGACCTGAGCATCAAGATTACACAATAATGGTTTCTTATATTTGTACTGCGGTCGACACTGGATTTTTAGTCTGAATAAAAACATCGCGAATGAAATAAATGAAGAATCAAATTGCAGTGCCAATACTAACGTGTGCATATCCTGAAATCTCGTCATTCAAGTGGAGAAGTAGACCCTTGCTTTGATCAAGTCGTATAACATCTGTTTCTTCAAGAATATCTCCAATAGTCAAGCTTGAGAAATTGAATGGTTCGCCATTGACCAAATGCTCGAGATTACTCAAGCCAACAGTCTTGGTTGACGGATAGATGTATGTTATCCGACATATAATCTGTAATAAAAAGATCGACTATCCTTCACAAAATTTGTAGGCTATAGGACAACGTATATAATATGCTTTATAGTGGTATCAAAGATACTCTAATGCTAGACCGTAACCGTTTTAACAACAGTCCGCCCCCAAAACAAGAAAGAACGATAACATGGTTATCAACATCCAAAATCAAAAATGATCGTCATCGTGTTGCATAAAAAAATCAATCTTTTATTTTTAACGACTGTTTGAAAGCATGTTTGTTTATAAAAAAAACATGTACCAGTACATATAAGCCGTAGGAAAGCACCTTAGAAAAACACCAACTTTGGTTTCAATTATATTCAACTTATCTTGGGAGGTTCCTATAAAGTAAGGTTCCAGGAGTTCTCTCCTCCGCAGAGGTTCCGTGTCCCCTGCTCTCTTCCGCAGAGGTTCCGTGTAGGGACTCTCTCCTCCGCAGAGGTTCCGTGTAGGGACTCTCTCCTCCGCAGAGGTTCCGTGTAGGGGCTCTCTTCTCCGCAGAGGTTCCGTGTAGGGGCTCTCTCCTCCGCAGAGGTTCCGTGTATTTTTCCGTGAGTTATTCCGTGATTTTCCGTACTTTTATGCGACGAACTGCTGAGGAGTGTGCTTGTGGTCTTCCTTCGATTTTTCTCCTCAGAAGCCTTTGCGTAGGAGAGTTTTAGTTTGTACAAATGCCGAATCCATATCCACCGGATAAGGATTTTTTCAACCGTTGCAAAAATGCTCTAAAAGCTATAAAACTACGGATACGAACCTCAGAATTAATAAAAAGAAAGTGGAATTGAACCTCAGAATTAATAAAAAGAAAGTGTAATCTGGGTTACACTAATCAACAATTTGAGAGAGCTTGAAAAATCACTATCCCGTCCCTTGTAATTAACCACCACTTTTTCAGTACTACCTTGGTTTTAACAGGGTATGTTTTCTCAACATCTCCACTCCCACCATGCTTAGCGAGATGAAGAAGATCTATACATCCATCAAAACCACCGAGAAATGACACCACAACACCATGCGAGTTCACCTGTGAGAAACAGATTATCATTTGAGGTATTCAGTGTAGGTTAAATAACTGCAGAAAAAGAAAATAAAAATCCTACCTGTTTTACGGTCGTCTTAACCAGCATTCCGGGCAACAAGCCAGAAAACACAATCTTCTCTTTTTGAGTCGTCTTTAAAAAAACAAAATCACTGTGTATAAAATTCCACAATCCACAGATCTGTGACAAGAACGTTAATATTGATCACTTACAAGTGTAGTTTTGCATTTCTTCTTGTCAATCTGCAACTGAACCATTCGTTTATCAGAACTTGTGGAGGTGACAACACAATCCAACACCTGACCAATATGTAGCTTCTCTGAAATGGAGTGAATAACTTCCTTTTTCAAAAATAACGCAGTATGCCTACATTTTGCAGGTCGAAAAGGTTACTTCCAAGAAGTACTTCAATATTGGAACAGAATTGTTGTAAAGGAAGTTATTTCTTGAGAAAAGAAAACTTCGTTGTTTTGTCTGAAAGCTCTTTGTTCAAAACATCAAATATATATTTTCAGGTACTTAATCTTGTTCAACATTATGTACATTGAAACCTTGCACTTAAAAACAGTAGGCTAAGATAAAATACTGTAAACTTTTTGTTTCAACTTGTGACTGTCATAAAATCCAAGTACAATATTATATTCTTCACCTAGGTCAATGCTGCACTGCTCAAAGTTTTACATTGTAGTAGAAATTTTTTGACTACAAGTCTGAAGAGACTATCATAAATTGCCTGAAAAAAAAGATTACAAGCCTACCAAAGAATTGGCGGTGGTGTGAATTGTTATATTACTGATACTTTCAGAAAATATTGCTGTGGTGCACCCCTAATATCAGTGCTTGGTGCTTTTGACAAACATACCAGTGACATTTTTCTTGAGTAAAAACCCTTGCACGCCTTTTACCCCAACAGACAAAGCATAACCATGATCCTCTGTGCTTGTTACATAACCAGACATTAACATATTGGGACAGATAGAATTGGGAGTTATTGAACTATTTACATCTTCTGGATTGATGGATAATCTGATCTTACTGTGGCCATGTTTACTGGAGTCTGTCGAAACCACCACACATTTTAGTAAGGTACCAACTGGAAAATAGTTCTGTAGTTTATTGGTCAGATGTTCGGGCTACAAAAATGTAACAATGAAATTGTATTTACTATTTATATATAAGTATTGTGAGTGCATTGATTTGTAATTTTACTACTATAAGTACATAACACACATAGTAACATATTTCTGCTTGGGTTCCTGTTTGGTACACTATGATATGGTAGTAACTTCAAATAGTTTCATGGTATTTGGCACTGTAATGTATTTAAGGCATTGTATGGCATATAATTTGGCAATTATGTGGAAACATGTAAACATCTCTGTTAGGAATGTAATGATATATGGCAAAGACTACTTAGTATCACACATTAGTATATTGGTTTGGTATGTTGTCTGGTATGTGGAGCATCATAAACTGTAATCTGGCAAGTTGCTGTAGTAATGATCTCTTGCAAACTTTGCATGGTATGGTGTACAACCTAAATGTCATCATCATGTTTAAAGATAAAGAGCAGGGCCCAGCAAATAACTTTAAAACCAAACATAATAAAAGTGAAAAATTTATTAGCTAATGTTTCGTTGTTTACAATACAACATCTTCAGAGCAATCATCATGTCATCATCATGGTCTAATATTTTGCCATCATCATGGTACATTTGTGGGATATGATATGGTACATGTATGATATCATATGGCATGCTATGATATAACCTGGTAGCTGGTGCAACATAATATAAATGAAAAATAATATCCGAATGGTATACTCACTCAGTCTGGTATATTACGGAATAACATGGCTTTATATATTTGAGATATTGTATGGTGGGGTATATTATGACATGGTATGGTAAATTATGGTATGATATATTATGGAACACGGTAAAACATTTCACCTCGTCATTTTCACCACTTTCCTCCTCCTGTTCAAGAAGTGATGTGAATGCGGGATTGATGTCAGTGATGTGTACACAACCACTCAAATTATTCGCCAAACTTATCACCATCTCAAACTCAAATACCTCTTCAACAACACCAAGCAATAAAACTCCTTTTGAAAGTTTCTAAATGTTAAGTCACATACATACATTATGATGTAAATATCACATGGAAAACTTTCTTTATATTCCATATAAAACTAAAAGCTTCTAATGTGTTAATTAGTTTGGCATTAGAGAAAATTTAGCATTGAATAATAAGAAAGTGCTTTCCAAATTTCCCAGATGTATTGAATTTAATTTTGCACCTACCATCAAAAGTCATAATTATGGATAAATGAAGAAGCATATAACAAAAAACATTTATACAGTAGGAAGATTTTCTAGGGGTAACACTGACACCTCACTTGAGCATTTTCAACACCCTCCCCAAAAATACAATATCAATAGGGGTGATACTCAAAGTGCTATACTTACCTTAAATGTAAGGTTGTCAACATTAACATCTGTTGAAATTGGCATATGAAGAAAACTTTCATTAACCACAGATGGCTTTGAATCACTAACAGATTGTCTTTTTCTCTTTGATTTCACCTTTGATTTACCAGAAGAAGTTATGGCCTAAGTTTAAGACACTAACTATTAGGTTTGCTTATAATGGGTGCTAACGAAAGTAATGATTTTTCCTATCTAATTTTCTAACTTTCATTGTTTTTAACATGTATTTAGGCTACTATTTTGCACACCTGCACTTAGATTTTTAACTTTTTAGCACTCCAGATCATGTTTCAAACTGCCCAACTTCCCTCACATGTCTGGGACTGGGCCCAGCATAGACAAGCAAGATATTAGCCACTACTGTTAACCCATTGAGTGGCAGCACTCTCCCCTTGATGAGTAAAATTGTGTGGTGTTAGACAGAGTAAAACTTAATAAAGTAGGATGCATTAGGCCACATTGTCACTTAAAGGGTTAAATTTTCTAAATCTTTGGGTACACAATTTTTCCAAACTTTTGAGTTCAAGATTGTAGACCATTTAAAATAGATGAATTAAACAACTACCCCAAACAAGATGTCCTTCTCTGCCTCATTCTTGGCTTGTCTTATTTCCAGTGGAGTCAAAGGGTGTGCACCACCTCGTGGAAAGTCTTCCTCATCATTTGCCGCAGTCTGAACAACGCTATTATAACACAAGTCATATGACATGTGGAGATATATAAGTTGCTAAATTAAAAGTTATGCTGTGAATACTAATTGGGATCTCAATGGGTCATTCCAGAAAGGATCCATACTCCCCTCACAGAGGAAATTCCTGCTGTCTGGAGGAGTAAAATTTGTTTCTTAGAATAGTAAGGGCATTAGGGCATCCAAAGGGGGTAGAAGGGTTAACTTCCAATTTCCTAGTGAATTTCCTAGTGGGGGAGTATGGGTGTTTACAATCTCGTTCCCCGAGCCTGCAATCCTCGGCAAGGAATGCGAGGCTCTGGGATAATACGTTGCCGGAAGCCAGGAATCCTGGCTAAGACCGAACTGTGCATTCCATATCAACGACCAATCAGATTCCTCCCTGAAATGGATTATCCCAGAGCCTCACGTTCTTTCCCCGAGGATCACAGGCTTGGGGAACGAGATTGGGATATTTACTGGGATGACCTAATTTGTAAATATTTATTTGTCAGACACAATTATTTTCTCCATTCTTTCAGTAAGTTAACAATGTAAATGTTAATGGATTTCAAGCAAATTCTCACTTCTTGGATCGTTTTAATCCTAGTCGTTTTATAGAAACCTCTCTATTTCGCACAGTAAGTCATTAGGTCAAATCCTGGCCAATGCCATGGCTTGTATTTGGAGTACAAACACTCCATAGCCTTACTGGTTGCATGTAGCAATTAATAAACCATCTATCGACTTTGTATATCTATGTATCATGTATGATATTGTATTTTTGAAATCTTTGTACGCCTGTCCTGTTTACTGTCTAAGCTTTTTGCCTTAGCACTTCCTCAAAACGATAATTCTCTCATACCTATGGTTCTTTTTTGGACTCTTTGCTTTCCTTTCGTCTTTATTTGGAGTATTTAGTTTACGTTTTCTTGATATTTTATTTTCACGTGCGTCCGACATTTTGAATTGCGTGCTGCAAAAAGACTGGAACTAGTATCAATGAGACAATATATGATACCCAACATGAAGTATATCTTCCTGCCAAAATGGCGGAATTTTTGAACCCCTTTCTTAAAAATTGAATACAAATTGCAAAAAATCCGCGCAAAGGAAAAGAAAAGAAAAAAATTCGTGCAAGAGGGAAAGCAAATAAAAATACCTTAAAAAGTACGCTAAAAATCCCAAAAGAGCTGAAAATCCAGTTATCCCAAAAACGAAAATCCAGTAATGAGTAGTACACCGTCTACACCCAGTTTACCAGTTATTCCAAAAAAGCTGAAAATCCAGTTATCCCACTCTCCATCACTCTTCTACTTGTAGTAGAGGTAAATGAATTCTATTTCTCAATTTAAGACAATATTCTAGCAATTATTTGACAAATCGAATAAATATGTATTTATGCAGATGCAACGTAGTGTAACACTGTATAAACGGACTTATTTTAATATTCTATAAATAGCTACAATTTATAAACTAACAAATTTTGAAAACGGGTGTAAAGTATTTATAGATATAAACTCTAATATTATTTCATTCTTTAAAAATTGGGCATCCGCTGCATCTCACTCAGAAGAGGAATTCGTATTTAAACTGTACAACTTCCGTTCACAAACATAATTGTTTCGATTTTCCTTTAATTTATACTTACAATATAAAGAAGTACCTCTATTTCCTTGTTGGCAGATTTCGGGAAGCAAAAGAAGATTTCGAGGTATCACAATCAATAAAGTACTCTTTGGAATATCCTATAAACGCTGAGGAATGACAATGTCTAGGTTTTTGGTTTTAGCATTGTTATTATTTGCTCAGCATCGCCAAGTTCATTCCTACAAGCCAGTTGTGATAATTCATGGTATTTTGGATACGGCTGCATCGCTGAACGATCTGAAATCAATGATAGAAAAGGCACACTCAGGCACAAATGTGACCGTTGTAAAGCTTTATCCGGAGGTTGAAAGCATATTTGTTCCAATGTGGGATCAAATAGACGGAGTTTCAGATGTGTTGGAGAAAATTATGGCGCAGTATAAAGATGGCATTCATTTGATTGGTTTTTCTCAAGGTATTGCATTTCACCAGAAGTGTTTTGGATGATATTTAATAGACTTAATATTGTATCACCACACAAGAGAAACTATATTTAAATATCAGGTTTCTAATTATTTGAAAAGATAATATTACTTCACTAATATTACTTTAATATACTAACTAGTCTAACTAAATTCCATATCATATCAGACATATGGGTATATGTTTAATATGCATCTTCTGTACTCACTGCAATTTGTCCAACTGACTTTAATGGCCCAAAACTCCAAGTTAATAATTTATGATACTATTAATTGGCATTTGACACATTTCCAATTGTCAGGAAATACTTTTTCTAACCACAAAATTTCAAAACAATTTTTGAATGATAGTCTGTCAATTCACCACATATGGGAAAGCAGGCATAATATCAAATGGCACAAACAGACCTATCTGCATCTCAAGACATTACAATCTCATTCCCCGAGCCTGCGATATCCTCTGGAAGGAACGTGAGGCTCTGGGATAATCCATTTCAGGGAGGAATCTGATTGGCCGTTGATATGGAATGCACAGTTCGATCTTAGCCAGGATTCCTGGCTTCTAGCAACAGATTATCCCAGAGCCTCACGTTCCTTCCTGAGGATCGCAGGCTCAGGGAACAAGATTGAAGACATTAGAAAATTGCCATCCTGGTGACCAGACTGCAAAGTTTGCCATGCGTACTGAAAGATCTTCCATGCACAATTTTGTAGTATGTCCTAAGCATGTTCCTTTACTGGAGAAGAAAACTTCAGTACACAGTTAGCAAACTCGGCTGGTGATTGCTAGCTACCACCCTGCATGATTGTCAAATTTCCTAACCCAGAAGAAGGAGGACTGTTCTGCCCCCTCCTCTCTCCCAGAACTTAACATTATTAAGTGCATAAGCCAAGCAACACACCTGTGGGTTATTTAAAGTTCCATACCTGATGAGTTAAAATATACTCTATTAATGTGTTCCCTTGAAATTAGTTATATTTGTGACATGTCAGGAACACACTTACACATAATCTATTAGCCCACAACACAGGCTTTCAATGTAATTCCACCAGTATGTGATAATTACTAAAACCTTGCTTTTTGCAACAAAAATGACAGGTGGTCTGGTAGGTCGAGGTGTCATTGAGAACTGCAGTTTTCATAATGTTCAAAACTTCATAAGCTTATCCAGTCCACAGATGGGACAATTTGGAGGTAATTTTGTTAGAAGATATATAAAGTTGTCTTTGCAGTCTTGGTCTCACAGCTATGTTACGAGATGTGCTGAATTGCAATCTTTACACTTTCTGCTTATTAAGTGACATCATATCTGGCGAAATTTCTACCTAAATTGTCAAGAAAGTTACTATATCGGTAAGATAATTAGCAATTATTGAATGAGGTTAAGAAGGATATGAAGATTTATCAAGCCTGAAGTTTGTAAATATCAACCGAAGGCTGAGGTTGGTAAGTTTATGGTAACACAAACCGCCAAGAGCTCAATAATTTTTCATACCTTGCAAAAACCGAATTCAATAATCATTTTATTATTTAATTTGGTTTATACCTGTGAGTCCAAATAATCAAAATAATAACCTGAGTTCTGTTTGCCATTTGCAGAAAATCTTTCATTTTTTCTTTCATAATTATGCTTAGATGTTTCAAAACTTTGGCTAGTAAAGTCAAAATATTGCCAAGGTTTTTATCTGCATTCTATTTTGAAGTAATGCTTGTTTCTTCAACTCTCAATAGTCTGCTGTATACACCAGAGTTTCAGGATCATCTGACTATTGCTAACTATTGGAATGGTAGGTTGAGCCAGAGGTTCAGATTTGACTACCGTTACCATCAAGGGCCATTAACCAATCAGACGTGTTTAATCTACCCATTTAACCAATCAGATGCGCACAGAGCAAGTGAGATGTAGCGGTAATGGAAGTGAGGAAGTCAAATCTGAAACTCTAATACTGGGTAAACCTATAATAATTTGACAACATACTGTGCACCAAATGTTTCACTTATATAAGCGACATGAGAGCAAGTTGTACAAAACAGTTATGTACATAATAAGCCTTATAAACTGGACAAACTAGAAGTACTAAAAAGACAGTAAAATCACGTAAAACTTCACGCAAAATACGTGTCCCTATAAGTTTTCATAAAACTCAAAGCATCTTAAAACAGTGTCATCCTACTATCTTTCTTAATAAAAATAAACATGTCACAATGCAAAAAGTCCTTTGTAACCAATTGCCAACAAAGCATGCATATACATTGCATAAACCACTCATTTGCGCAGTATATGTGTCTTCTATTTGTACCTGGTTGAATACCCATAAAATCAACCATCCTAAGACTTAATGTTTCTTCTCGAGCTCCGTTATAAATACAAATCATGGGCATTATTCGTAAACAAGAGACTTGAAAGCCCTGAAATCATTATGTTACAGACCCACTGCACACGAAGGAATACCTGGCCAAAAACATCTTCATGCCTTTGGTCAATAACAACAACTATTCAAAGTTTGCTGATAAACAAAGTAAGTTATAGATTTATGCATTTTCACTACAAGACCTTGCTGGCTTATATACTCTAAAGGCTAAACAAAATGTCAAAAATATAAACTTGAATAGGGCATTTGTATACCCCAATACCAATGGCAATGCCATGGCCCATAGCATGGGCAATGGCCATTCTAGTAGCAATCTCATCGGTTTTAAATTAATAGTCTATCTGTTAGATGGTTTCAATCTGTTTCATATATCACCGTGATTGCCTGATACGCATGTCGGTCTTATTAGGGGCCATTCACAAAGGATGTCCGGCCAAATGATGGATTTTCAGACCCCCCCCC